AATTTAGACCTCTTCAACCAACCCCCTCCTCCAAATTTATTTTTGGAACTCCTTGGCCATGTTTTTCATCATGGTGATGGAAAATACCTAGTACATTGTTTTTTCTGTAATTTTTAAACAGAAGTAATGCCACCATTTCAAAGCCAAATTACGTAAATTGGTAGATATGACTTTTCTCTGTCTTTCAATGCTATCCGTAAATGTCTTCATTCGTTAGAAACTGTTTAAAGATTGATTGTAAAAATATTATCTTCTAAGGGATTTGAGGTAATAATCTTTCTCTATCAAAATTGCATTTACCATTAGGCCACACCAAGTAATTTTTATGGATGACGTCCTCTGGATACCCAGAATCTAATGCAAGAGCGCGAAACAGCAGTTGTCGTCCTGTCCTGTTTTTTTTTTCCATTAGGCCACACCGACTTAATTTTATGGATGACATCCTCTGAAGACCCCCAAAGAAGTGCGCGCGGGCGAAAAAAAAAATTCCGGCCAAAAATAAAAATGACACTAAACAACAGGAATACAATGCTGGTATTGTGAATTTGCGGCAGTACTTAGCGATCCATGCGACAAGCCGGCACATGCTGGCTTTTTGCGGAATTTATGAATTTATGTATATACTGAGTTCTTGAGTCGTGGAGCTTCGGCAACCTGGGTGCCCGGCTCCCTATTGTCACTAACTACCATGGACAACCCAGGCCTAGAGCGACCGCTATACCACCCCCCCCCCATCCCTCAGCCAAAAATATTTGGACGCACTCACGAGACGGGTTTTCTGGACCAAGGGGGAGGGTCAGGACTTTTTTTTTGATGGGCCCTCTCACGTACGGTCCCTAACCAGGAAACCGGACGAACAAAACACGGAAACAACTGTTACAGCGTGATACTGTGATGCTAGTTACAGGTTGTCGAGGGAGGAACTATGTGTTTTTCTGACTCATTGTTTTATTACCTCCATGAAAAATGGAGGTATTGTTTTTGGCGTGTCTGTGTGTGTGTGTGTGTGTGTCTGTGTGTGTGTGTTTCCGCAACTTTGTAGTCAGCATAACTTCATAACGCCTTTATGGATTGTGATGATATTTGGTATGCAAATTAAGTCCTCATTTGCATAATTTTGCACTTCATTATGTACAACTCTATCTCAGCTTAAGGGGGAAATTCTATAATTACAGTGTTTTATATAATAGTTCTTTTATACATGCAATCTATTTAATCTGTGGCAGGAGGAATATCAACAGATACCAATTATGCTAATGATGACCTAATTTGCATAATTAATGTAAAAATTCTGTGACTCCTTATTGGTGAATGATGGGAATTTTATACCTCGTGACATGTGTAAGATTAACACCACTGTACATATATTATGTTAATGTAGATGTCATTTGCATAATTAATGAGGACATGTTGAAATGAAGTTTGACAAAGCAAGCCCATATTTCATGGAGGTATAAGATCTCGGAACTCTTGTTGTACAAATGCACTGGATGTCTTTAAGGCTATAATTTATTTCCTCCCTTGTCAGACATTTTCAGGTGAAAATATAGCAAGCAGACATTATAAAAGCAGAGGGTAGTATTTGTCAATAAACCCGAATGTACCAAGTCTTTGTTGTCACTATCTTTAAATCTTTCAATTCAGAATACTTTTCTAAAATACATGAACTTTAAAATTGAATTTGTGTGTGTCCTAAGGGAAGAAATGTAGCAAAATTAATCTTCCTTAAGTTTTCCTTCATGCCATGACATGAACAGCACAGTGCAGCAGCGGCCTCTAGTGACCGATTTGCAAAGTGCACCCTGTTCTCTGATTGGGTGACGCGATCAGCACCAAGGACAGGACCACGCTTCTCCTTTGTTGAACCCCAGACAAGACGTGACCTGTGTTCTCTTGTCGAGATATAAACATTTCCAAGCGTTATTGGATGCTTGTCTAGAATCATATGTCTTCTTCACAAAACTCATGGTAGAAGTGACAGAGAAAGACTAGGAAGTCCAACCAGCAGCGACTACTAAATCCATCCACAGGGTATTGACATTTGCTGTGCACAAGAACCACAGAACAGAGGCAAATGGCTAGCTACCATCAACCCCCAGAGCGAGCAAGAGAGAGAGGGGGGTGGGGTGTAGGGAGGGAGATAGAGAGAGGGGGAGGGAGGGAGAGATAGGGAGAGGGGAGGGGGGAGAGAGAAAGAGAGAGATAGAGAGGGAGAGGGAGGGGGCTTCATGTGTATGGGTCCCCAAGTAACGACTTCAATATAGCACTGAAGTGCTCCCTAGCACTGGAACAGCATTTTCATAGTAAAATGTTGAACTTTATTACTTTGTTTTTGATGGCCTTTGTTTTGATTTTGAAAAACAATAAATTTGGTCTGTTGCCGTGCCAGAAAGTGCATGACAGAAAAAAGGCTTTACTAGACCTCTTCATGGACAGAATAAATTGCCCAATTTAGTGGCAAGACAGTTATGTTTTGAGTAGCATTTGTGAGTGTGTCTATCTCTCTGTGTTCGTGCGTGCATGTCTGCATACTAGATAACTCGAGAAGGCCTAGCTGGATTGTCTTGATATTTTGTAGGCAGGCAGGTCGTGATTAGATTTTGGACCACCTGGCGACTTATTATGGTACTGATGTGGAACTTCTGGTTTCAGTTTCTCGTCATTTGGAAATGCTATATGGCTTTCCATGGATTTTTATGCTATGGTGGATCGACGTGAGTTTACCACCATGGAACTGCAGAGGCATTTGTTGATACATAGTTGAAGGAGATCATGATTTTTGGTATGTGATGCTTGACATAATTACAAGATGACAATTGTGCAAATCAGGATCTAATTTGCACAATTAATAAGGAAATATGATAAATCTGCTGCCTTCCATGATATGACTAGTCAATCATATAATTGAAAAAAGGAGGAAGACTACAATTGGCAGATACTAATGAATGAAGGCTTAATTTGCGTAATGAATGAGAAAATGCAATAATTCCATATTAGTAGTGGCAACTGCCAGGAATTTCATACTTGTGGCATTTTAAGTTATTATAAGTAAAGGTGAACATCATCATACAAAACTTATTCAAATCACAACATCCTTTTTAATAATGCATGAGCAACTGCTAGAATGGCTTTCTTTGTTAATTAAGATAAGACTGTTGTTGGGTAGAGAATTCGACCAACTGATGTAATACATGCAGATGAGCATCTTATTTGCATAATCAAGAAGAAACAATTCGTCAGTTGTAAAGGTCATCATTAAAAGAAGGTGTGAGCTTGTGGAACTCTTGTTATGGGTTCACCACACCACGAAGTGGTGTGTGGTGAACCCATATTGCTTTTTCTGGTGTTTCTTCTCCTTCTTCTCCTGCCATTTTTTAAATGGATTCAGCTTCTTCATTTTAGGGCCTAAGGTCCTGAAATTTGGTATGGAGGTACAGTGGGTAAATACCCCTAGGCGTTTTTTTAAATTTTTGTGATACGGGCTTTTAGAATGGTTTTATTTGAGTTTTTTGGCTGTGTTATAGCAAATGTATTACTGTGTTAGTGTGCCGTGTTTACCACGTTTGGGCATGAGTCATCACAATGGAATACAGGGCATCAACCAATAGGCATGCAGCTTTCCTCTATTCTTCTTGCTGATTGGCTGTTGGGATTTAACTTGATTAACACCTGCACAGAGCATTTCCACCTGCACAGAGCATTTCTTGCTGATTGGCTGTTGGGATTTAACTTGATTAACACCTGCACAGAGCATTTCCATACTAACAGTATGTCTGTATTCAAGTGTTTTGGTAGGTATTTCAAGCTTTCCTGCTCCAGCATTGGAATGCGGGGCATGAACGTTTTTTTTATTTATTTTGAAAATCAACAGTTTGCATTATGCAATTAAAAATCCTAACCAATAAAGTAGGGAATAGCTATCCAACTGTTGTTTTAGTTGTATGTTACTTCATATTATAGTTATATCAATGTAAATCATTGTTTTCCCTTGTGTTTCTCATTCTTTCCCTGCCATGTCCTAAAATGTGGTGAACCCATCGCTGTATTTGCTCCAAAGCAAATATTGGCCTTTCTAGTTCTAGTTACTTTTGTACTTGCATGTCATATCTACATATTGACACAAAGGTAGATGTACATATGAAAACAAACTGCATTTTAGTGTCAAGGCATTTAATTGACTTCTGTTTTACTTTATCAATTTATTTTGTACACACTGCAAGCTTAGAAATCAATAGTAATCACATTACAACAGTGCAGCTTTGCACAATGTATTTGAACACTGGACCAATAAAGCTTAACCAGGCTTCATGAAGGGGCTGGTAAGAATAGAAATTGGCCAATTTCTACTCTTTCCAGCCCCTTCCTGAAGCCTGGTAGAGGCTACCAATAATCGCAGAGAATTAGGTAGGCTGTTGTCTGCATGTCAGTCTTTCCACAATCATGACATTTATCATACGTTATCTGAAATTATCATATAGCCGGATGACGTTGACCAATCAGAAGGCCCCATTCCACATGGCTTATGATGCCGTAATGTCACAAATAGAGTCAAAACAGGTCATTATTCATTCCCAATCCATACATTAAACAATCCAATAATCACCCGCATATGACCTCGGGTGACCCAAATAGAACACGACTGCTCCAGTGACCTCAGGTGACTCACATATGGAACACATGTTCTATTCAAGTTTGTATGTGTTATACAGGAATGTGTCACTCTTTACTGTGTAAGTTTTGATAGGCTATATGCGCTCACTCTGTGGCTTTATTCGGTGATTATAGCAACTGACAATGCTTTATCACACCATATTCACCTCGGGGCGGGTCATTAACCCTTAAATTGGCTTAATTATTAGACATATGATAAAGAAAATGTTGCAGTAAACAAGATATGCTTTCCTCCAGCTGCTTTCCTCCCTGATGATATTCCTACACATTTTACTAACACATACAGGGAGTATTTTATTTGCCAGGCAGTCTGACTGTCTGACTAGAGTCCGGAGTGGAACCTGCCAACAGTCTAGACAAATGTCGAATCTGCATGTCCTGCTTTTCCGTGACCACCTGCACTTCCAATAGTTTTTCCTCCAGTTCATTCAGTCTCTGGTTCTGAGTGTCTTCCTTCTGCTGAGCGTTTCGGGCCTGCCGCCAGTACTCTCCGTAGATGGTTGCCACCGCTACCATGAACACGATGAACTCCCCGAGCATCTCCGCTCCCAGCTCGGTGGCCATCTCTTCGTTGAGCTGAGGGACGCTGCCGGGTTTGGTCTTCCCCAGGCCGAGAATTCTCATCTTCAGTCTCACCTCCATCCAGTGGTACACTGCAGAAATACAACCAGAACACTACAACTACAACACTGCAGAAATACAACTACAACACTGCAGAAATACAACTACAACACTGCAGAAATACAACTACAACACTGCAGAAATACAACCAGAACACTGCAGAAATACAACTACAACATTGGAGAAATACAACTACAAAACTGCAGAAATACAACTACTCTAGACTAGTTTATCTAAACAAACTTAGAGGACATGCCTACAAGTACCAGATACAAAAATCAAATGGACCCAGGTCCAACTTCTTCCCTGCAAGAACAACCCCAATTTGGAACAAACTGTCACCAACCACAGTAAACAGCAGCTCAGTAAATGTATTCAAGACCAAGTTGCCTATAGAGTGGAAGGACCACCCCGATAGATATGTACCGTGGCCGACAAGAACAAAATTTTACACCGCAACTTTTGGTGTTTTACACCGCAACTTTTGGTGTTTTACACTGCAACTTTTGGTGTTTTACACTGCAACTTTGGGTGTTTTACACTGCAACTTTTGCTGTGTTTTACACTGCAACTTTTGCTGTGTTTTACACTGCAACTTTTGCTGTGTTTTACACTGCAACTTTTGCTGTGTGGAAAACTTACACCCCTCCCCTTTTATAATGGACGGTCCCCCTGTCAGGTCAAAGGTGACAACGATGGCATGCAAACTACGTCGACTGAGTTATCCTTTTCGTGCATAAGTTTTTTAGAGGAAAAGCTTGGCTACGTTGTGACGTTAGTTTTTTTCTAAAGGTTTTTCTAGCTTTGGCCTATAGATCGGGATAAATTTGAAAATGTTTCGACCAGGTCCAGTGATTACAAATTATGTTGCTATCTAGTGAATGTTGGTAACGTTTGCACCGCTACGTGTTGATGTCGACGCATGGTATGATAGAAATGATGTCTGTCTGAAGGCGTAAATATGTAATTAGCTTAAACTATCGTGGCATGATGTCATAAACGCTTGCATGCGGCGATAGTCGTCTTCCACGTTTCCCCGCCTTTGAGTCACGTGACATTTTCTAGCTAGAGAATTCGGACTCGCAAGGTCGCTAATAATTTGATGAGTAAATATTGGGCCTATGGGAGTCAAATGTGGCACCACTTGGTACTATGAAGCAATAAAGACTTATTTTCAATTATGAAGTGTTGACTCTTGACTCAGGTAAGTTATCGATCATTAGGGAACAATACGAGCGATCGCCATGACGTCACCGTAGGCAAAAAGTGGGTGCCAGTTGGCTGATTTGCCTACCAAGAATTTGCATATGTCTTCAAATAATTTGCATGCGTATAATGTAAACAAAAACAGCGATCGCTCGTATACAAATGTAGCCTAGACACTGTGACTCTCAGGCCGCCGCCATCTTTGTCACCTTTGACCTGACAGGGGGACCGTCCATTATAAAAGGGGAAGGGTGTAAGTTTTCCACACAGCAAAAGTTGCAGTATAAAACACAGCAAAAGTTGCAGTGTAAAACACCCAAAGTTGCAGTGTAAAACACCAAAAGTTGCGGTGTAAAACACCAAAAGTTGCGGTGTAAAATTTTGTACTTGTCGGCCACGGTAGATATGGATACGTCTCCTCCTACTGAATGCCCAAACTGTCTACACCACGAAGACGGCCTCATTACCCAGTAAGGGTACCTAATGGCCTGGATTCTGGTGAATATATTCAGGTGAATATATTAACATAATCGCCGTGGCTATATACACTCCCGGTGTGTATATAAAAGACAAATAGATTTTATATACACTCCGAAATACTAGCCTCCTTGGTAGACCCTCCGCTCCCGGCGGCGGCGGCGAGACCGGTTGCGCGCCCCTGGCGTCCTCGCTACCTGGTTGATCCTGCCAGTAGTCATAGGCTTGTCTCAAAGTTTAAGCCATGCACGTGCAAGTTTAAACTGTCTCAGTGAAACTGCGAATGGCTCATTAAATCAGTTATGGTTCCTTTGATCGTCACATCCTACATGGATAACTGTGGTAATTCTAGAGCTAATACATGCGGAAGAAGCGCCGACCTCACGGTCTGGCGTGCATTTATCAGACCAAGACCAACCCGGGGTTCGCCCCGGTCCCTTTGGTGACTCCGGATAACACAGCCGATCGCGCGGTCTTCGCACCGACGACAGATCATTCGAATGCCCTATCAACTTTCCGGGAGTGTATATAAAAGACAAATAGATCTTATATACACACCGGGAGTGTATATAAAAGACAAATAGATTTTATATACACTCCCGGAGTGTATATAAAAGACAAATAGATTTTATATACACTCCGGGAGTGTATATAAAAGACAAATAGATTTTATATACACTTCGGGAGTGTATATAGCCACGTTCTAACATAATATATTCATTGTGATGTTAACCTTTAAGTAACTTACACAGGTCACAAGGTATAAAATTCCCATCATTCATCATTAAGAAATCACAGAATTTTCAAATTAATTATGCAAATTAGGTCAGTATTTGCATATTTACCCATAAAGGCGTTCTGAAGTTATGCTGACTACAAATGAGCGGAAACACAAACACACGCACAGACAGACACACACAGAGTAAAAACAATACCTCCATTTTTTCATGGAGGTAACTGCAAGTAACAACGCTGCAGAAATACAACCACAACACTAGACTGCAGAAATACATAAATTTTGTACAACCACAACACACCAATCCGATTAACGTTATAAATAACTCCTATCTGGAAAAAATAACCTTGCATAAGGCGATATAATTTGAAAGAATTTCTGAATCACAAAAGAACATTGACTTCACCGGTTGAGGTTAAACCTGGCCTTGTGAGCAAACGTGCGACCGAACAAGGTGACTTTTACCCGGTCAGGTTATCTTTTTTAGCAAAGGCTCGCCCCCCTCCCCTCAACCCTTGTAATAACACACCGCATAACTTACATTGTGCAGGCGGCATACAGACATATCTCCTGAAGAACACACTCCGTTTAGCGCCTTCTTTAGCGTACTTTGCCACGGGTTTGCTGAGCTGTTTTACCGCCAGAGACACCAGCTTTGCGATCGGAAAGACCATGATGGTTTCGAAACCCGGAAGTAATATTCAGTGTGACCTTGTTAGGTCTCGTTCCTGAATTAATCCGCGTGTAGAAAATAGTCCGCTGGTCTAAGAGAAACGTATGTTTCGTGGATCATAAATTTTGATTTTGTTGATTCCACCTGATATGAAAATGATGATGATGATGAGATGAGATGAAAGTTCATTCATTACCGACAGGAAAGGTACTATTGGCGGATGTATACGCTAACTTTGTCGAGAGACTGGGTGCTGCGGTGAGGGACCTGACTACTACAATGAGGACCTCTTGCGGATTAGTGTTCAATTGCAGTTATAGGTTCCCCGAATCGGGTAGAATATATGGCCGTGTCTAAACGGAATCACCCAAGGCGGTTTACATGTGGTTTACCCCGAAGCCGGTTTCAAGTGGCTCCATCTGATATTTCTTTTTTTATATGCAATACCAACTTTTACGTGGCAGCAACTTAAAGAGCTGTAATGGTCAAATAATGTGTCCGTTCTAGGGCGAGCTTCACCGCCTCTGGCGGGACCACGTCGGCATTCGGCCGAGATACGCTGGGAGGGGGGCATCAGCAAGCAGATCGTTGACCTTTGACATTAATAACACGCCGCCTTGCGTGTTATCATCAAACAGCAATAAATGTAGCTCAAGCGCATTATGTTCGGACACGGTTTCACAGGTGTGTGTGGCACGTGGACCAGATGTGAGGAATGTGAGTTACCCGAATCGCGGTTTGGGTGACTTCACATAAACACGGCCTATGTTTTGGGTTCTCTGGACAGGTGATGATGTCCAGGTGTGTAATTAGAGCAGGAGGACTGCTCCCGGCCAGGACGCGACAGAACCAGGTCAGGAGCGTCCCTGCACCTCAATCAGAATACTAGAGGGGGGGGGGGATTTTTTAATTGCCAAAGGCAAAACACCTGCCGAATGGCTGTTTGTAGGATTTGTGGCATTAAATGGTAATTGGCGATAGTGTGTGTTTGTGTGTGTGTGTGTGTGCGTGTGTGCGTGCGTGCGTGCGTGCGTGTGTGTGTGTGTGTGTATGTGTGTGCGTGCGTCTGAGTGAGTGAGTATCCTCTGGAGACCCTAAATCGCATGCGTCTGTTTATTCGTCATGAAAACAGCAATAAATCAATGGATCAGCAGTTTTCATTCCGTCCTGTTTCTTTATTTCATCACATCCCCCCTTATCCCACTGTCGTGACTCTTTGGTCATAGTTACAAGAAGCGGAATTTCTTCTTTTTTTTTTAGAACATGTCAAAATCATTGTGCGCGCGGACGTCATCCATGAAAAATTTAATACTAGGTGTGGTCTTACCGTAAAACGCAAGCCACAAATTACCATGCCTCCGTGTTGATATATTTTATACTTTAATACTTACATTAGTGTGTCAGCTTTTTTTAATCTCAAAATCGTTCTACTCTGTCTACAGAGCGTAAAATGTAACTTTTAACTGAATTTATCGTAAAGAATTAACCTCCTCCTCCAGGTCTTTCTGCAGACCCGGAGCGTCAAATCGGTAATTAATGGAAAAATAACTGGCCAAGACAGTCAGTCCGATAGAGACTAGTATTACATATTATACATTTTGTAGTAGTAAAGAATGACATTTGCATAAAATACGCTAGCACTTTGTTAGGACGACGACACATCTGTAGGATATCAGACTGCTTGCAATTTTATTACCTTCTGCCAGGGGTTCAACCGCCTTATCCACCCACTGAAGGGCCTGGCCGCATATTCCGCCGCCGGGACCGAACCATTCTTTCCCCCAACCCCTAGCATTTACGCGTGCCGCAATTTGCATACCTTCACAGAGGCGGTCATGGGGCGGACGGCAAGATGGTAGTCTCAAGTAAGTCTCGACATTTTCTTCCAATTTTCACAGCAGTTTTTCTCTCCGAATGTGCAAGATTATCACAACATACGATAGGAATGTAAAGTGAACTGTTGGGAAAGGCGGTTACGTATTTGGGAGAGGTAGAAACGAGAAACGAGACATGTTCACGGGCTACTTCAGGTGAATAACAAACCGGCCGACTGAACTTGCCAGCAGCATATATTATGTAACATTAACGTTAAGAGGTACATGTACATTTCGTTATAATCTAATTGTCGTAGGAATAAGGGATTTGATTACTATGTAACGTAGTAAGTCAGAACATGCAAAAATAGATCAAGTGATGAAAAGATCGGTTAATATGCCCTCCGGCTTTGGATACAAAAGAATATTATTATGATATTATATTGGGCTGTTCCAAAAAATAAATGTGGAGGGGGGGTGGAAGAGCTTGGATTTTCTATTTTCTGACCCCCCTTTCATTACTATCCGAGTACCTTGACCCCCTTTCATTTCATCCATATCCAGGTGTCTTGACCCCTTAAAAATGTTATCCAAACGACTTGACCCCCTATAATTTCATCCAAATCCAGGGTGAACCCCTCTCAATCCAAAATCCACACCCACTAACCCCCTTAGGTAAAATCCGACCTCTTCCACCCCCCCTCCTCAGTTATTTTTTTGAACGGCCCATTATATCTAAAGATTGTTTCAAAATATTAGACTAGCCCTATTTATACATTTCCTAAAATAATCTCTCAGAGGGAAAATATGATATCTCTAGAAGTTTATTTTGAGTTATTAATGGGTAACATTAATATTCGTGCTGACTGTGTTGATGAAGGCCCCCACTTAAAGTTATTGCATTTTGGGGCACAAATGTTTATCAATCGTGGTGTTTCCTTATTAAAAGGTGGTTTCTGGAATAACGATAATCAACAAATAACTGAAGAAGACTTGAACATATCTATTATTATACATGTATAGTATTATTAATGCAGCAGTGCAGTGTTATTATATAAAGAAGTCGTAATTGTGTCCTACATGTATTTTCGGGGGAAAACTATTACCTTAGTTGTGAGGGGCCAACCCAATTTTGCATTAGGGAGGATCTGAAAGGGGTTCTGAATTCGGGATGAGTTTCTGTGCTTATTGTGCATTACATTTAATTCAGAAACATGAATCTCTATGGCATTGCATTAAGTTGAAAAATTCAGTCACCTACAGATACTGATTTACGTTGAATAGACCCTCAGATTGGTAAAACTGGCTATCAGAATGTACTTATAAACCCCATGCAGGCCCTCTGTATGCATGTTCCACTACCAGAGAAATTTATTGATTAAGTGTCTTGGAATTTTCGGTTTATTGTCTTTTTACTAGAGATGGCTACCTCACTATAAACCCTCCCCAATAATGCATTGTTGCAAGCAGGGCTTTTCTGTATTCACCAAGTGTATGTGCTAATGCAACTAGACACATCTCATGGCAAATGTAACGCAAGAAACATCCCGATACAGAAACTGTGATGTCACTGGGTATCAGATATACCGGGCCTATTGAATCAGCCCTGTTGCCCAAACATCAGTGGTTAATCTGATACAGTGATAGCATAGTGGACCACTGGCATTATAGTGTTCAACCAACAGTTGATACAGTCCACTGAAAAACCACGTATCTGTTAAGCCATGTCTGTGAAGCAGGTGGGTACGTTACATACTTGTAACACTTTTATGTATTCTTGCCCCGCCATTTTGTTTGATCCCCCACCAACGCAGATATTTGTCAGTCTCGAGTTTCCGCCAAAATTCCTCCTACAGGTGTGGAAGGCGGACGCCATGTTGCCTTCACCGACGTGGCAATATTGTGGATTGATCTCCTTCCGTCTGTGTTTAAATATTCATGAGACCAGGAGGGCGATTTCTATTGATTCCTGTTCCCTGCTTCATCACAGTAATGCACTGTGCATGATAATGCCACAGTCATCTATTGTGGGGAGCAATATGCCAGCCCACAGAGCTAATTGCGTTGCACCCAGTCAATTATAAACGGTTCAATTTTTTTTTTGCCAGATATGATTACTCAGTATTCTATCAACTGTCATGGTGATATTCCTAATAACCAGGTGTCCCAGTCTGTTTGGGAAATTATTACAATATTAGTGTAGGTTTTGTACTATTTATTAGTGTAGATTTTGTATTAGTGTAGATGATAAAATATAATCTCTCTATATATAACATGTTACATGTATATATAACTGGCCATGTTGATTTGATTATATGGATGACATCTGTGCGTGTGTCAATTTTCGTCTGCTTCCAAAATACTATAGTTTTCGACTACACTGTGAATTGGACAAAGCAGCTGAAAAATATGCATATGTTGGTTGTACATTGCAAAAAAAAATATTGGAAAATGATTCTCATGTTGTAGAATGCCAAAATCAGTTCTAAAGGAAAGGAAGCAAATAATTTTATGAAGAAATGAAAATGAAGAGTCGATATTCACCATACATGCTCTGTGTGTTTAATCATTTGTTCAACCTCCATGACCACATTGATTTCTTAAGGCAACCTTTTTTTTTGCCAAACATTTTTTCTTTGCACCTTCACTTTTGGGGTTCCCAGAGGATGTCATCCATGTATAACCAAATCAACATGTCCTAAACAGATTGAATAGAGTCATCTGGTGGGTAAACACAACAGGTTTAGACTCTTACCTGCTAGCATTTGTTCACAATATTTTTCAATAATGTCATGTCTTAAATCATAGACCCCTGACTTTTTTTTCCCTGCGGTGGCGTAGCTACTGTGCATTCATTGTGTTTTGCTGCGGTGTGATGCGCTGCACGAGAAATACTCCCAAATTGTACCTATACAGGGTACATATACTCATATATGGATGGTGTGTGTGCACCCCAACAATTGTTGGGCACCTAGGGTATAGAATTTTCTTCTTACACAACCAGTAAGGTTCTCACCTGCTTACGTTTCGATGTCTATCAGACACCTTCCTCAGAGCTTCTGACTGGAGTTCTGCAACTCGCCGCTATTTAAGCTCTGAGGAAGGTGTCTCACGGATAGACATCGAAACGTAAGCAGGTGAGAACCTTACTGGTTGTGTAAGAAGAAAATTCTATACCCTAAGTATCTTCCAACCTGATGAAATTATTTACGGAAAATTGTTGGGCACCGCAGGACTAGTACTAGGGTTTTAACATTGTTGTTGTCGTTGTCCTTCCAGAATCAATTAGAAAAGTTACGGAGTTGTAGAACTGTAGTGTGTGGGACAAAGTGGTCTGTCTAGTGTTATGTAACAGGTGGTTGTATAGGAATGTGGGGTCAAGGTATGATAGGTAAACCTACTAAGGCCACACCAAGTAAATTTTATGGATGACGTCCTTTGGAGACCCTAAATCTAATGCGGGAGGGCGAAAAAAAACAAGAAGGGCCCTAAAAAACAAGATGCCTAGATTAGAAATATACTAAGAGACGACAAATGTTAGGACACAAATTGAATGAGGTGACACAGTGTAACAAGCAAGAAGTCTTTTATTCATCATCAAAACAGCAATAAATCAGGTGGAACAGTGGACAGTGAAAAATTTTCTGTTCTGTTCCGACACCTCGCGTTACGGGTTTCACGTCAATCTGACGATTTGCGACACTGCCGTGACTTTGGTCATAGTTACAGGAAGCAAAATTTCTTGTTTTTTTTTCTAGGAAGAGGCCAAAATCAATGCGCGCGCGGACGTCATCCATAAAATTTACTTGGTGTGGCCTAATACTTAAACATGGTCCTTTCTTCTACATATTAGGTACTACATGTACTATGGGTTTGTTGGCCCAGGAAATGTTTAAACTGTTAAACCACTGGGTCTTGGATAATCACACTTTGTCAGATTAGGTGTGAAAATATGTTCAGCATCTGTGACTTTCCTCGAAGAAGGCGCATTTAGTTTTTAGATAAGATTGTATAATGTATCTGTCACACAAGGTCCTTGGCTCATGTACACTAAGGCCTCGAAATACTTTTTTTCTGGTACATGCAAAATTACATGTTGGCCAAAATTTTAGGTGCAATTTTAAAGATTTATGTGCAAAATTATATTTAGTCCGTCTGCAACTTTTTTCCAGCTGGTTTGTCACAAAAACTGTTGGAACTTCCCGAAATTTAAAAAAAAAAATTATATGGCTCATAAAAAAAATTTACCAACAGTCTGAGAGTTATTTTTAATTTGCATGTTTGTTTACCTTCATTATCCTGCATGATATCATAAAAGTGAAATATACTGCTTAGAAAAATAATGTATGGTCAATCTTTGCTTCTTTGCAATGCAATTTTGCACCTCCGTCCTACTGTAGGTGCAAAATTGCACGCAAATCTTGAGAATCGTGTGCATTTTGCACATTGCACATGGGTATTTCAAACCCTGACACTGCATATTAAACCCAATCGGTTTATTGTTTTTGGCACATCACGGCATACCACTGAAGTTATCAGAAACCAAGACACTATTATATGCGTTCACACTCGTGGTTTCGACCAAATAGATTTCGTCACAAACATCTCGAACTAACTCCTCTACTAGTAGGTGGTTCATTTGGAACTGTTTCAGTTCACACTGCAAAAGAAAATGAATCGGTTGAATGAATTCTGACCCAATTCTGTCAAAAACAATTATTTTTTTAGTATAAATGTCATTAGAGACACTCATACACAATCAGGACACTGTTGCTATCTCTGTACAGATTTTACAGTACAGGCACGTGTATATGTGTATATGTGAAAAGTAAAAGTTTGTGCACCATTTATGTACCTAAGGCCCCAGCAAGTAATTTTTATGGATGACATCAGCGCCCGCATTAATTTTCGCCTGATTTTGGGGAAAAAAAAACAAGAAATTTTGTTGCCTTCTGACAGTGGTCACCATGCCGAAAATCATGGCAAAGATATCTGTTGCCATGCCGGAAGGTGGGTGGCAGAAAGGAGACAAGACAAGTCTAGATGATTTAATGTTTTGTTTCTTACTTTTGATGCAGTGATATGTGATGTTGGCTGTGTATATGTGATGTTCCCACTGAATCAGAACCATTTGTACAATGATTGAGTCAAAATTTTAAAATGTAGGAACCTTGTTTTTTCTGACCCGCATTAGATTAAGAGTCTGCGTAGGATGTCATCCATGTAGAATTTACTTGCCGTGGCCGCTAGTAACATGTAAAGTAACAAGGGTAACAGTAACGGGGGTGTTTTATATTCCAGGGGTCAGACCCCCCTGCACAAGGGTAACAGTAACAGGGGGTGTTTCATGTATAACAGGAGGTGTTTCATGTTTTCTGTTCCAGGGGTCAGACCCCCCTGCACAAGGGTAACAGTAACAGGGGGGTGTTTCATGGTTAACAGGGCGTGTTTCATGTTCCTCCAATCATGATATTCTGCTGTTTTCACACACTAAATGTGTGGCATTAAATGACCCAGTGGCTAGACTACTACTAGTAGTAATACTTCAGATTGGAGGTCAAGAAGTCACAGGTTTGATCCCCCAGGCATCCCTGGCTGTATGTTGTGTCCTTGGGAAAGGCACGTAACACGACTTTCCTGTTTTTTATAAACACTTCAGCTTTATCCACCCTGTGTGTTCCACCAAGTACCCTGACTTACTATTATTTATAGTAAGCAGTCTTGGTGTTATGAGAAGTACTCCGACTTAGGCCACAGCAAGTAATTTTTTTGGATGACATCAGCGCGCGCATTGATTTTTGCTTGATTTTGGAAAAAAAAACAAGAAATTTTATTGCCTTTTGACAGTGGTCAACATGCCGAAAATGGGCAAAATGGCATGCCTTGCCATGTTGAAACGTGGATGGCAGATAAACATTAAGAGAGCAGACAAGACAAGGCTCTGATTTATTGTTTTGACTTTTACTTTGATGCAGTGATGTATTTCATTCCTTTTAATATGTTCCCACTGAATCAAAACCATTTGTACAATGATTGAAAACTTTCCCTTTTCAAAGTAACTGTTGTTTCAGTGACAAATGGATGTTGTGATAGTTGGCAGTTAAGTTAGCACAATGTAGGTATCATTTCTTGTTTAACAGGGTTTATGATGTCAAAATTTGAAAATATCTATAGGAATCTTTTTTTTTTTGGCCCGCCTTGTTTTTTTTTGCACTTGTCGCATTAGATTTCGAGTCTGCGGAGGATGTCATCCATAGAATTTACTTACTGTGGCCTTACTACTAAGCAGGCCTGGTGTTCCATTAAGTACTGCAGAAGTACTCAAATATCTCACAGGAAATATTTGAGAAATTTGGCAGAAGGAACCTCAAATGCATTCTGCTACATGTTTTGCGGGAGTTTTGCGAGATGTCAATCACAGAACTTAAAGGGGGCCCGCAAGCCCTTTTCCGTAGAGCGTAATCGGCCATCTTAATTCTACATAGAGCATAGACGGACCGCTTGGCGCATTTTGCGTAGAGCGTATTCGCCGTTTTAATTCTACGTAATGCGTTGTGGCCACTTGGAATTTATCGTAAAGCGTAATCGAGAAGTTTCCGAATAAAGCGTAGAGCGTTGCCGGGACCCCCCCTTGCAGGCCCCCCTTAAACGCGCTTTCACCAAACGTTAATTCCCTGCTGGCCTGTACTATATATAGTACTACATCTTCCCTGGCAGGTTCTCTGTCATTTCCGTTCTGTAATGGCATTGCAGGCTGATTGCTGTCCATAGCAAGGTTATCCAATCAAGACTTAAGTGTATTTTTTTACAGCCAAGTAATCATACTGTCTAGATCTGGACACCTTTATCAATCCACACTAGGTCTGATACCTGCAGGGTCATTATCTACTTCCTTCATGTGCTGTTCAGTTATATGGGGGCCCGCAAGCCCTTTTCCGTAGAGCGTAATCGGCCGTTTTAATTCTACGTAGAGCGTAGACGGACCGCTCTTCGCATTTTCCGTAGAGCGTATTCGCCGTTTTAATTCTACGTAATGCGTTGTAGCCACTTGGAATTTATCGTAAAAACGTAATCTAGGGTTTCCGAATTAAGCGTAGAGCGTTGTCGGGACCCCCCCTTGCAGGCCCTCTTATACATATATTGAAATGAATTTTTCTGAGTAAAGCCCATGTCACACATGCACGAATTTGGCCTTGTGAACACTAGGCGAACATTCGTTCCCTATTATATTAAACCACGGTTAGGAATAGTTTGGCTAGCTTGGCTGGTATTTGGGGCCAGCCAAATTTTTCAAAATGTTTTGAACATTCGGGGGTTGGTCGGGAGGTTTGACTATGGTTGTCTGGTCCTCATATCATTTGTATCTCTGGTATAATTGGCTGTAAGTGACAGCATAACACCAGCCAACTATTCGGGAGTAAGTCAGCAGTCTTCAAGGGTCAAATTTGACTCAAATTTAACTCAAATTCATTTCCATTCATCATATAGAATTTAGAAAGGTAGGCGGGACCTACATTTTGTAAATCTGGTCAGACTTCTCCCAATTGTCAGGAACAAATTCAGGAGAATGTCGGGAAGAAATTCAGAAGTTTGTGAATGTGTGACAGGGGCTTAAGAAAGTAGTTAAAATATTTATTGCTTTACCTTCACCCTGCTGCCTAACCCTGATCTATTCTAAGACCCCATTTTTACCAGACTTCACATAACCAACATTGAATTCATAAGCAGGAATAACCTGTCTAAAGCCTCTGAAAGTTGCATTCATACATACCAGGCTTTATATATTAACCGATTCGGTTAAAACCAGTCCGAAATAATATATTTGGCCACGGTTGCAGTTAAATGGACGCTTCAATTTACGTCCAACTCGTAAAAAGTGTGTGTGCAACCCTAGCCTGTTCCCTCCCGTTCCTGTGATTGTGGTCCTTGCCCATCTCCTGAGGTAATCTCCAAGCAGATCTGCAAAGACAACTTATCAAATTGGCCAGGCAGTATCCATTTGCCAGACAGTCATCCCATTTCACCAATGCCTGGCAAATGGATACTGCATTGACAATTGCAGCCACAGAAAGATCTGCTTCGAATCAGGGCTCAAAATTAAAGGTGGTCCAATGGCCACTGACCTCTAAAATATAGTACTGACTCTAATGGAATATCCTCTTCTTGTTCTTTCCTCTTCTTTCACTCTTGATGTTAGATTTAATTTTCAGAACCTATTTTTAGTTAGTTTTCAACTTAGGTTTCATGCGATAAGCGAACAGTTGTCATGGGGGTGACGACGCAGCTGAAATTTGTCCCGAGGCCTTCGCCCTCCGGATCGGCCCCCCCAGCCCCGACCAGCCCCTCCGTGCCCAAACCTGGCAATCTCACCTGGACAACGGCAGCCACCGGGAAGCCACGCACCACCGTCGCCATGGTTACGGGGATTCCGACCCCGGGAAGAAACGTTTCCGCCGTGACAAATTCGACGTGGGGAGGAAACCAGACCTGGCTGTCAGCGAGCACTGCCACTCCCTTCAACACAGCCGTCAAGCTGGAGTCCATCGCAAGTAATACTTAACTCAAGACTCTTCTCATTAGAATTGTCAAACTGTCTTCATGCAGAGATATCAGTATTTCTTATTCATTTTTATCCTGTTAGACCACACCAATTTGATTTTTTTGGTTCTCGGATTTTTTCAGAGAAAATATGAAGGGAAAGGGCAAAAAAAAATTAAGATAAAACAAGTCTAGGCATCCTATTATAGCTCCAAATGATACGATAGGAGCCATGAAGTCAACACAAAAGGCTGGATTGATATTCAAACCAAGAATTTTGAACTTTTAATCAAACCACTGCATTGACAGAAGGAAAAACTGTAACAACTAGGAAGAAAAGGACTTTCCTTACTGGTGGGGGCAAAATAATATGAGCATTTTTGAGTTGATTCAGAAACAGAATCTTTTTTTTTTGCAAATCAGAAAAAAATGAAGAAGGCAAATCCGAGAACCAACAAATTAAATTGGTGTGGCCTTAACTCAAGACTCTCCTTATTAGAATTGCCAAACTGTCTTCATGCATAAATATCAATATTTCTTCTATTTTTATCCTGTTAGACAATTTGATTACATGGATGACATTTGCAGTCTCACAAATATGAATTTGAGTCTGTTTGTTAAAGCTTTTGACCAAACTGTTTATCGTATAAAGCAGCTGCAAAATGAGGAAATATTATGCCGTAAGTTGTAAAAAAATATTAGAAAATGATAGAACAATGCTGTAGAATGCCAAAATCAATTCCAAAATAAAAGAAGATGATTGTGAACAAATGAAAAGGGAGAGTTTATTATTCACCTTCATGGTGGAGGCATTGCTTTTAAAAATTTTTGCCAAACTTTTTTTATTTGTACATGACTATGCTTGAGCTTCAGTTTCCAGAGATTGTCATCCATAATATAATCAAATCAGCATGGCTTTATGTTATGAAATAAATCATAATAATATTATTGTGTAATTTGTTTATTACCAAATCTTTTATTTCTATATGTTTTCAATTGAGATTATCTGATTTATCTCGTGGCTCTTTATGATTTTATAGATTGCTATTTTCCAAGCATTGTATGTTTTGTTTGTTGGACATGATTATCTTTTGTTTGTTTGAATAATTCAAATAAAGCACAGTTTTTTCATTAAGTTTTTGTGGTACTTAATTTGTGCACACTGAATTCTATGGTAGTCAGTTATACATAGAGATACATGTAATGTTGATTCCGAAAATAATTTCACCAGGTTGTTAGAACATTCAAATAGTGCAAACACAAACATAAATGTTTCAAAGCCTTTAAGAATCTTCCAGTCCTAAAAGCTTCTGACTGGAGTTAACTACTAGTACTGCTTCTCGACCTACATTTGGTTACATATACAGGGCTCAAAATTAACGGTGTCCCGATGGCCAGTGACCACTGAAGTAAAAGAAAACTCCAGTATCCGTTCAATATGGGTGTTCTGGCCCATACGGTACGGCCCGGGGTTCTTTACACATATGGCCTGGGCTTCCAAATGTTCCATAGAGTAATTCAAATGCGTTTCGCACACACCAAAGCTTACGAAACTTCGAACACCGAATTGACGCCGGCAGACGTTACACTTTTTGTTTAGATACAGCAAATTTTGGCACATTTCGCAATAAAAATGTCAGACAGTGGGTATGACATAAATAAAATACTAACATGGTGTGCCAAAAAGCAGTTACTCAAGCAACTGGATATGATTTTGGAAAGGGTCAGACGATTCAGCTAGTATCCACTAGCTTTCGTCAGTTACTGTATTCTGCATCACCCTCGGTCCCAGCCCTCCCGTGGATTGGATCTCCCTCCGGCCTTCGGCCGTCGGACAATCCGACCCGCGGTCGAGCTGGTACCTTGGGCGATACGGAATACACTGTGTAGTATTCTATAATTATGTATTTGCCGTGGTACATGTATTATCATACGATGTAGTTTCAGCCTGGGGGCAATGAGGAATACAAGAATTTAATTTTTGTCCCCCAAAAAATGTGCGTCCAAAGGATGCGTGCCTGCTACGAGCATAATTTTGAATATTAAATTATGAAGCAGTGTTCTGTGAAATATTTATTTCAGAATAATCTCACTATGTAGCTGGACATTAAAGAATAGCCCATCTAGACCTGACGACATTTTTTATCCAGCACAGCAAAAGAACCATTCTTATGACTGTTAAATAATTGGATTCGAACTTGAGGCTAATTTACAATGTATGAGTGAAATTATCAATGTCATCAATTTTTATATACATGTATTGTGTACTACTACATTTTGCAGCAGTTTTCAAATGAAGTATTTTCAATTGGTACTTCTGGCTGAGCGCACATGTGTATTGAAGGCCAGTGAATAATTTATTACACACCAGCATCACTCAATTCAGTGCAAATAGCAATTTGCCAGGTTTCTTCATGTTATGAGCTTTGAGACTTCACTCAGCAACATGACCGATCACTGTTCTGGGTATGCAATGTTTCAGAACTGCACTGTTGTGTCTTAGATAAGTTAGAATTATTGTGTATTGTGGTTGTATTCACTGTGTTTCATGAAAGTGATTGTACATTGTACATGATTATACATGTATATGTTATGCATCTTGGCTATAGACTTGGGTCAATTCAATACTGTAACTATCAGAGTTACCGGAAAAATCATGGATTAAAATGTAGAGTACTCATTAGATATTTAGAAAGTGTAAGATACCCGTAGCCAGGAGTTTGCTCGTTGGGTTCTTCTTGCTGTCTGAGGGACCTGCGAGCGCTATGTATATACACACTTAGGCCACACCAATTTAATTTCTTGGTTAACGGATTCGCCACTTCATTTTTTTCTGATTTGCAAATAAAAATAAAAATTCAGAATCAACTGCAAAATGCTCATATTTTTCCCTGAACAGTTGAAAACAGTCCTTTTCTTACTACTTGTTACATTTATTCCATCTTTCAATGCAGTGGTATCATTAAAAGTTCAAAATTCATTGTTTAAATTTTGAACCAGCCTGGTGTGTTGACTTCATAGCTCCTATCGTACCATTTTGGGCCATAATAGGATGCCTAGGCCTGTTTTTATTTTTATTTTTTTTTCGCCCGCCCGCTCCATTATTTTCCTAGAAAAATCCGTTAACCAAGAAATTAAATTGGTGTGGCCTTACAGACCTGTGCAAGCTTTCTGTGGGATCCAGGGTTTTGAAAATTGAACCTTCTGAAAATCGGCATTTCTAATACGTTTTTGAGAGGATTGTAAGGGCAAAATTACATGTAGAGACACCCAGATGGGTATGATATAAAGAATACAACAGGATGTATTCCACATCACCCTCGGTCCCAGCCCTCCTGTGTTGTGTTGTATTGTTACAGTTATTTATCAGTTTCCAGTTAAATTCTAGACTTCCTGTTTAATTCTGGACTAATTCCCATATCCCAGTAACCGTACATCTAAATGGGCTAATATCATAAATTATTATAAGGGAAGAATGATGTAAGAAATATGTAGCAGCCATAGAGGACTGCCCAAGAGTCCTCACGACTTGGGCCTTAACCCAATTCTGCAGAATTCTGGGAACTGGAGCCAGAATTCTGTGCAGAATTCTGCAGAATTGGGTTAATCCCCAAGGGGTCCTCGATGGCTGCTACGTCAGACATTTTTCTTACATTATTTTTCAGCATATAGTTTTACTATATTAGCCCAGGCATGTAGATGTAAGAAGTTGCTGAGATATGGGAATTAGTCGGGAATTAAACTGGAAGTCCAGAATTACACTAGAGGCTGTTCAGTTATAATATTTACAAACTATACAGTTTTTCATATCTCAACCAACAAAAAAAGACTATATCATTACTAAAGCCTCCCAACCCATTTATTTTTCAAAGAGTCGGACTCTCCCACTGCCTCCTGAGGAGAAGTCAAACCCCCTAATAGTAATAGCATGACAAGAATAGTTTAATAGAATAGAATAGATTAGAATAGCAGTTACCTTGTTCCTATTACCTGTTCACATATTGCATATTTACTTTTTTTTTATCTGTATGTATACCAACGTTATTAGATTTAAGTAATGGGTTCGATAAGTATATCGTACACGTAGAAGTTCATGTTAGCAAATAGTCTTATATCACCAGATTTTCTTGTCAATGTCTGTATGCAATTAGCCCTCGGGCATGAATTTGCAATAAACAACTTCAATTGTACTATTAACATTACCTGTTGTTTTGTTTGTCAGTTCCGGCTGCAGCTGCAGGGTTTATGGGTGCGATCTGTGCCTGCCTGATCCTGCTGGTCATGCTGCATCTCTTCCTAAACAAGAAACTCTGCTTTGAGGAGGTCGGAGGTTTTCCCTGCTTTGAGCAGAAGAAAAAGGAACCCAAGGCTGCCAAATTAGGTAAGACGCTTCAAATATTATATCAATACTTTCATACATGTATTTCACTGATTATAACATAGTCAGGAACCAAAATATCTGAAACTGATGTTTCTTCCCCTCGTTCCTCTACCAAAAAAGAAATTCAATAAAATTTAATTTTTGGGCAGAATGAATCAAGTACTTATTGCAATTTCAAATTAGAGGTCAACAATCTCATTCTCATACCTTGGTCGTTTTTTTTGTAATTTTGTGTTGGTTTTTCTATAGAAATTTCTTTTGGCATGTGTTACACATATATCGTTGCTTACTAATAGGCTCAAATCGACCTTAAGGGTAAGATTCAGCGTTATGTGTGACCATCTGTTGGCTAAGGGCATGACCTTCTGAAATAGAAGGTACAAAGCCACTTAATTACCCATAATTGACCTTGACCCTTATCATCCCAACCCCAACCTTCCTACCAAATATCATTTTAAGCACATATGCGATGCATCCCTATCAGCAGAAACTGTTGTGTACATTTTGTGTACATGTATGGTGTATCTAGAACATAACCTTCTTGACGAAGGTAATTGTACACGTATTGAAGTTGCTGCACCAGTACTAGTGTGCCCTCTGGCAAAATCCAACAGTTCAGCAGGGTGCTACTTCATGCATTGTTGCATGGGTGCATGGCTCGAATCCCATTCCCTGTGGGAGTAAACTTTGGCCCCAAACTCGTCCTTCAGGATTCTACATACCCAATCCTTGCCAGGTATGCAAATGACCTCAACATTGGAGAGGAATTTCAAAATGGCCTCTGCCTCTGTCCGTGCCAAATCAGAGCCGGTAAAAACAGAGAGGTCAAAGCTGAACCCCAAACCTGAAGACAAGAAAGACTTTGGGCCCTCTGCAATATTTCGCTCTGTATGTCCGTGCTGTGGAGAAAGCTGCCGGAAAAGTGAGTCTCCAAATAGACATTTAGTATAATTATGTTATGACAGTCAGGCCTAGAAATGATCAATAGAAAACTTTTTTTTTTTGAACACATTTTGCATGCACCGAGTGTGCCGGTTTTGAATATTGTGTACCACAGAAATGGTGGTGTAATTTTTGGCTTAGGGACTGCAAATTTTTGCGCAGTAAGCTTTGAAACATGTTTTTTCTCGGGTGGGTATGACAGAAATAAAATACTACACAGAACTTGCTTGAAGACAACTTGGCGAGGCGCTATGTATACGCTCCCTGGAGCATGCAATGCTGAGTGAGTGAGTGAGTGTGTGTGTGTGTGTGAGTGAGTGAGTGAGTGAGTGAGTGAGTGAGTGAGTGAGTGAGTGAGTGAGTGAGTGAGTGAGTGAGTGAGTGAGTGAGTGAGTGAGTGAGTGAGTGAGCGAGCGAGCGAGCGAGCGTTTTCCGCATAACCCTCTGTCCCAGCCCTCCATGGGTCATGCTGTTACCTCGGGTAATGCAGGATACACTGTATTAAGTTGTCTCTATATTGTACTGTACATCATCATTGTAGTTATCCAGGCATTCTTGCGCACAATCAGAAAGTTGCAACAACTTGAAAATCCAGGAAGTGCTTCCTATACATGTATTGATGGACATTTATATATAGTGTGCGAGGTCAAAGTTCTTGGTATAAAACAGTCAGCTACCATAGGATTTTGTTACATACAACCAGGTATTCTTCGTACCTTGCTTCCCTTTCGATGTCTATACATGGGAGGGTTGTACATGTTGTTTTGTCATGAAAATAGTTGTCGATTAGAGTTTGGAAGAAAATGATTTAAAAGTTGTATGATGTGTGTTGTTATATCAGGAGTATGATGATTATTATAGGCAGATGACGTTAGCCAATCAAAAGTCCCCATTTCACATTTGGCTGTTATTCACCAATTTCACACTTCCCATAATGCCTAGTAAAAGTCACGGATATGACGTAAGACCACCCCTCCCCCTTCCTTGATGTAATATTTCCAACAAGTTCTATCGACAAACTGGTCAACTATATTGTTTTGAATTATTTATCTAGTATAAAGCGCATGCCATAATTGCATTTTTGTTGGAATTAGAGAAAATGACGTACCTTCTATCATTCTACCTTATACGGAAGACTCTCCTACTCGCACGGTCGCATTATGTATATCCCCTTCTTATATCATATCCCATCCATATCTGCGATATTTACTAGGCATTATGGGAAGTGTGAAATTGGTGAATAGGCTGTAACATCATAAAAGTGCCACAAGTGGACGTACTAAGGTGTAAGTGAATGTATTTGACCGTACCAACAATATGCAAAGTGAAGAGGGCTCTTTTTACACTGACTTGATTTTATGGATCCTCTGAAGGCCCTCAAACTAGTGCGCGCTGGCAAAAAAAAAAATTCCGGACAAAAATAAAAATAATGCTGCTGAGCCACAGGAATACAAAGCTGGGGGACCCCAAAGCTGGTGAACTTGCGGCAGTACATAGCGACGTATAGCAAGCCATGGCCTTTTGCAGCATTTATGAATTAGAACTGTATGTTGTACATGTATGTATGACTTCTTGAGTTGTGGAGCTTCGGCAGCCTGGGTGCTGTCCTCCATAGTTACCGCAGGCTCCCTATTGTTGCTGGCTACCATGGACTACAGAGCATGGCACCCAGGCATGTTTGCGGCATGTCTTGTTGTTACAGAATTTCCTACTTAGTGCAGGATCAATGTAAGGCGTTTATCCTAACTTTAGCAATTAACATGTTCATGTGTTGTCAACTTTGCAATAAAAGTAACAACATTTCAAAGATGGACAAAATTTCTGACAACCCTAAAACACTACAGTTACAATATACTGTAGCTGCAGCAATTTAGGTCCACGGTAGCAAAAAAAGTTCTCAGTCTGATAAAAATGGACATGTTCGTTGAAATTTCATTTTTTTAAATATACCTGGGGATTGCAGGTACATGAAAAAGAAAGTCAGTGAATTACTTGTTCACAGTAATGATAAGTTCGCAATAATGCCAATTATCGCGAATGCCAAATACAGAAGTGACTGCAAAAATCGTGAACATAAAAGTACCACGAAAAATCGTAAATTACTGTTACGGTATTGTTTTGAAGTTGCATACTAAACACTTCAAATTCACCTCTTGAAAATTCAGTGTAGTGTTAGAAAATTGGAAGTTATAGAGATCTTGATGGTTGTTTAATTCCAGTAACTGTTGTTGAGTTGCTGCGATTCATAATTAAGGCCACACCAATTTAATTTGTTGTTTCTTGGATTTTTTCAGAAAAAATGTGAAGTGAAAAAAAAAAACAGGCCAAGGCACCCCATGATAGCCGGAAATGTTACAATATGAGCCATGAAGTGAACATACCAGGCTGGTTAATAATTGAAACAATAGATTTTGAACTTTTGATGAAACAAAATTGCATTCTTTGTTATATTGAAAAACTTTAAAACTAGGAAGAAAAGGACTTTCTTTATCCGTTGGGGCCAAAATCTGTCTTTTATTGAGTATTTTGCAGTTAATTTAGAACGGTTACCGGGAGAATTTTTTTTTTTTTGCAAATCAGAAAAAAATGGACAGGGCTATCCAAGAAGCAACAAATTAAATTGTTGTAGCCTAAACTATAAATAGGCCAAACTAGGCCCGAATTAGGCCGAGGGGAAATGGCCTCCAAAATTGTTTGGCCCATTACCATGGCAACAATTGATGTTGATGAGATAAAAAGCTACCTGTATTTGGAGGGGTAGTGGGTCAAAATATGAGCCAAATCGCGTTTCACTGGTGCCACCATCGTCTACGTATGACTAAAACCACGAAATAGACAACTGAAGACAGAAGGTATAGTAGGAAGGATCTACATTATGTTGGTGAAGATTTGTGTTATGTGACTACGCCATCATGATTAACTTCCCAGCACAGGACATGATGTCATGAGGTGGTTATGGACACACCTTTTAAAAGATTAGTCTAATAAACAAACCCGGAAACAAGACATTTAAGGCTTATGATTATAAGTCACACTTAGATTCATGTGGTTTTGAGACGAGGTTGATTAAATCCAGTTTCCCAAGAATGTTATCTACACTGTACATACCTGAGAACTGTTTCACTTGAAAATTGTAAATACTAAATATTAGCCAGCAGGCTTTTCCAGCGAGCAGACCGCCTCATTTGCATATGAAAGAGGTAAGCACATGCCTTGGGTTGCAATCCAAAAGTTGTCGGACCAGTTCTGTACAGGCGAGCATTACATAGCAGTGCATGGGAAAGGTGTTGTGTGGTGCGAGGTATGTTTTCTGTCATGGGTTAGTGGGAATATGGCCAAGTCTGGACCGGGAAAACAACACCAACACACCGTTGAGGGAGAAGAAGGGACTGTCGGGGCTCTGATTTCCTATCTGAGGAGGATGAGAACAGACGTGTTTGGACAGGTGGACCCGGCACAGCAACAGGTACAGCAACAGCAACAGGTACAGCACTGTGGCTACTGTGGACAGCGGCGCTGTGACTGTCAGACCAAACGTGGGGACGACTCGGCCATTGAAGAGGATAAGAGCGACATTACCGACGCGCCCGGAGATGAGACGACCGCGTCTGCCATCTCCCAGGTCAACGCCACCATGCGACAGATCCTGCAGGAGATCAAGGACATCAAGGAGCGTTCGCATGGCAGTCAGCACGGCAGTCAGCACGGCTCGGACGTTGTGACTCAGGATAAATATCAACATGTTGTCGACGACCTTCTGGCAGCCAGGTCATGTCATAAAGAGCTGGAGGACAAACTGTGTTTGTACGAGAACGCGCTGAAAGGGAAGGAGGAAGAAGACAAGAAGAGCCGAGAATTTCAAAATACAGGCGGCTCTGAAAGTAACACACCAGAACACGAACCGAAGCTGGAAAATTCCTTAGAAAGTGAGAGTGTTTACCACAGCCTGGGTGCCCAACATACTGACCTCACCCAAGTGAGAAACATGATGTCTCAGCTTTTGCAAGAGATTTTAGACATGAAGAAGGACAAGACTGAAGGAAACGACACAGTTGCTGAGGAAAGGGTAGAACGCATGAATGCCACGGTGTTTGATGAAGTTATGGAGGTGTTAGACCCTGATGTTCAAGTACAGGTGAAAGTCTGCGAAGAAGAAACGAGAAGGACCTCTACTCCCGTGGAGACACCTGCTAAAGATGAAGATGATAAAAAATTGTTAGAAATGCAGACCAGTCCAATAAAGAAGGACCTGCTAGAAAGTTCTTGCAAGGTGTTGGAACCTTCTCCAAGTAAGGAAGACGGGAAGGTTCTAAGACTCACAGTAGATTCTCAGGTACAGACAGTTCCCATCCCAAGGACTCGAGAGGAGGTTTTGAGAGACTTGATCCAAAGTGACCGCCAGGACGGAGTATCCACTGCTGGCCAGGAGGGAGAGGAGACCAGGCCTGTGCAAAATAAAACCGACTCTCGCACGAATTCTCAGGAATTACAGACAGAGTGTGAAAAACGCTGCGGTTTGCAGCCTCTTGACAACAACTCTGTACCTGTTTCTGTTGGCGTTACAACAACCTGTGAGGAAGTAGAAGGGGAAAATGTGAACAGTAAAGGTGGTGCCTTAGGTTTCTTTAACTTTGGCAAAGGTACAGAAAAAATAGAAGAAAAAAATGTGGAAGGCAAAATGTTTTCCACCAGTTTCTTTGGCTTTGGACCAAAGGCTGAAAATGACAGCAGTGCATCTTCTGTCAACCAGCGTACCAGTGGGTTTGGGCTGGAGTCAAAACTGTCCAAGTTTACCAGCTGGGTCGGGGACAGTATAGCCTCAACGGCAATGCAGTTCGCTAGGAAAAACAGCGAGAAGACAACAGACTCTAGTGGGGACCAGAAACAACAACAGAATGTGTCAGTGCCAGGACAGTACCTTAACTCACAGACATTACACCCTTCGTCGCAGTCAGGTGATCACCCCTTGGCCTCAGATGACCCAACAGCCTCGCCGAGGAGGAGAGTACATCCAGACACACACACCTCCCCAGCTCTGGTGAACGAACCTCCCTTCACGGCTACTTATGTTACCGTGCAGAACGTCAGTCCACGGGGGACGCTCTTCCACTTACTTCAAAACACAGAGGAAACAGATGAATCCATTTCTTTAACGGGTAATCCTAAATCAGAGACTTCTCAAGCAAAGTGCCAAACCGAGGTCCAGAAGTGGGAGAAATCAGGACAGCCTCGTATGCAGGAGATACCTCAGACCAGCTTCACTGACGAGGGGACATTGGGAACGATGGAGCCAGTGTGCGAAACCCCCCCGGTCCAACGGAAAGCATTAAAACGATCTGCCTCGCTGCCCAGACATGCTCACTTGGCCTCTGCGGAGTCAAGGTCAGTCCACAGGCATGTACGTAATGTTGGAGTTGTCACATCCACCTCACAACAACAAACACTTCCCAGGAAGGGCATTCTACATCACAAACAGCACGTCTGTGAAGACACGTCCTACCGCCCGGAGCTGTGGAGAAGAAGGGGGTCCAACTGTGTTCAAGTCGACACTCAAGAAATATCCAGCGACGCTGCAGCATCAGATGACTCTAAGATGTCGTATTCTACAAAACCACAGAAACATGTGACTTATAGTCCTTATGTGCACAGGAAAATAATCTCCCCTCGACATTCTCCGAAAGACAGACCAAAGTTTTTCGTTCCCTTTCTTGTCGAGTATGACGAGAGTTCTAGTTGCAGTGATGAAGACTTTGAAACAACCTACAACAAGTCCTATGGACAAGGTAGTGACTATGATGACTTTGCTAGCCAAAAACTAAGAAGTAGTGAAGTGGCAGCAAGACAAAAGAAATTGTCTCCCAGCCCTGATAGCAATCCTGGGTCCGTGCAAAAGAGAAGCTGTGACTTGACTGATGATTTGTCCTTGGGTCACAGACCCAGACTGACACACAGATCAGAACAGGCATCTTCGAACTTTCTCCAAGTGCCGGGGATGGTGCCTTCTGTAAGACCAAAGGTCCGGCTGAGAACAGATGCTGAGGACTGCCTGAGACATTCCAGAGAAGAAACCTCAGTGCAGCCGTCAAGCAGGCAGCCTGTGTCAAAACAACTCAGCAAAAAGAAATCTGTCTCTCCCACCAGTTCTGAAGATGATCCTCATGTGTATAGATTGCAGAATCCATCACAAGGGGAGAAAAAGGTGAGAGAGAGGGAATCAAGGCATCGTTTGAAAGGAAGGGTAGAGAGTTTGAGGACTACTGACGAGGATGATCTCAGGTCGTCACATCTGATGGAAAGTGCTGCCGTTGGGAAAAGCAGGGAGGACAACACAACAAAGACTACACAGGGACGGGGTAGGTCTCGACATCGGCAACAAAGCACCGGCAGGAGCGTAGGGAATGGGACAGGCAGTGCAGCATCAGGGCTGAGGGATGGAGAGGACTCACAGGGAAGCAGCAGTACTAGTAGTATGGGGAGGAACAGAAGAGGACAGTCAGTTCCCAGGGCATTACAGAACAAAGACAACAACTCAGATTCTCACTCCAAGCCTCGATACCTGCACCGAAGCAGGAGCATGGACCGAGGCAAGTGGGATAGAACGGCTGATTCTGATAGAATATCACGGTCTGCAGACATGGAGGAGAGGCCATGGCAGGCACATGGACGCAGACACAGTCTGGGACAGACAACTGACAGGACAGTAGGTACTGGAAGGGAGGAATTAAGACACCCACCCCAGCCCAACACTGGGACTAGTAGGGCTGAGTCAAGACACCCAGGCCTGCCCAACACTGGGACTGGTAGGGCTGAGTCGAGACGCCCAGGCCTGACCAACACTGGGACTGTTAGGGCTGAGTCGAGACACCCACCCCTGCCCAGCACTGGGACTGGTAGGGCTGAGTCGAGACACCCAGGCCTGCCCAACACTGGGACTGGTAGGGCTGAGTCGAGACACCCAGGCCTGACCAACACTGGGACTGGTAGGGCTGAGTCGAGACACCCAGGCCTGACCAACACTGGGACTGTTAGGGCTGAGTCGAGACACCCAGGCCTGCCCAACACTGGGACTGGTAGGGCTGAGTCGAGACACCCAGGCCTGCCCAACACTGGGACTGGTAGGGCTGAGTCGAGACACCCACCCCAGCCCAACACTGGGACTGGTAGGGCTGAGTCGAGACACCCAGGCCTGACCAACACTGGCAAGAAGAGAAGCAGGAGAGTGGAGCACACGGCAGACTGGGGCAGGTTTCTCTTCTGGAACCAAGTAGCAGCAAAGTCACCTCAGCTCAAACCTAGAATCATCCAGTCACCTCAACAAATATACGGTAATGTAGATCATATATTATTGGGTAATACTGACATTTTATGTTGTACCTGGGTCATGATAACGTTTGATACGGGTGTCAAGGCCCATGTCTCCAGCGGATCCTTGCGGGTCCAGAGGGGGGTAAAAAAAATTTAGACGACTGGCCAAACACAAAATCGCAGAAAAAACATACATTTTGTAACACAAAGAATAGAAAGGAAGGTTACGACCAGTTCTTCCCGGACATGTATTAAGTACATGACCGGGGCGAAGGACCATCGCACACGTGTCAACAATCCAGATTTAACACCATGAAATCAGCGGGCACGCCCTACCACGCCTAGACTCGATTTATTGTTTATTTGTTAACGCACCCCAGGCCTGTGAATCCCTAGACTTTACGCCTCCCACAAAAACTTTTGATAAACTACGTCAAGCCAACTTCTCAGTACTGCGATGTTGTGACCACGCGGGTTGTCTATCAAGAGGCGGCATTTCCTTTTATATTTGATCCTTTTGAATTAAACTAAAATTGAACTAAAATCCATCGCAAACTCTTTATTCACCCCGTTTCGTGAAATTTAGTCGTCCCGAACATAATGCATTTTTCAATATTTTCTCAGTCGTAAAATATACGGACGGGCACATAAATGTACAGTTGAAAAAAAATCAGTATTAGTTCACAGGGTTCTTTTTACCCAAAACAGAAGAAGACAGTATGAAGGTGGAATGTAACTTAACCTGTTATAGGGGTCAAATTCCCTGACAAATCATCCGTGCAAAAAGCAGGTGTCTACTGTACCGGATGCGGACATTGGAATTGATGTTGTTTTGGGACACCAAATCTCAATAGGACATTTTGCATTAAAATGTCATTGTAAGTTTCCTCGGGTCAGTGACAACTCTCTGCGGGTCAGATAGACCCTCCAGCGAACCGACCCGCGGTCGGGCTGAAAATTCGGGTGATACACCGTGTAGTATTCTATCGTTAAACTTTACAGCGCACAGGTGAAAAAATGCAGTATTTCTATTTCTATACAGTACTGGACAATGCCTCTCTTGGGGTGTAACGTCCAGGGGGTCAATACCCTGGTGTGACCGGTGATGTTGGTGCAAAAACAAAAAAGTGAGGCAAATGCAATGATATGTGAAAATATTTAGTGCACTACCTACAAAATCAAAAAGGAAAAAGTGATACTGTGGTATGTACAAAGTAGTCGCCCAGGGCTATATGTAGCTAATGAGTGGCGCTGGGTTGGCCAGAGTACTTGGCCACCCCAGCCTTGAACTTACCAGTTGATGTTGGGCTAACTAGATTACAATGTACCTGGCAGACCATTCCACTCTATTACGGTCCGTAGAAAGTATGTTGATGAACTTTTGTTTGTCCTCACTAAAAAATTGATTTAGAAATACCTTAAATGTCTTACTCAAGTGGTTCCTCTGAACCATAATGAAAGTCTGGAGTCTGACATAAAGGATGCTACGAAGTTGTTATATATAATTATATGAAGAGGTGGGCGTGTTGGCCGAGAAGTTGTGTTTGCTTGACGTACAGTCAAACCTGCCAGGGTGACTGCTTTTTCTCAGTCCCCAAAATTTTCCCCATTGACACAAGCATTCAGCAACCTGTCCAAGGTGACCACCTGGCCAACGCAACTACGACCACCCTGAGTTGGGTCCATTGAAGGCCTGATACCTGCCCATGGTGACCACATTATTTTCGATCAAGTTGATTATTGATGATAACTACATGTTGTAATGAAAAATCATGGAGAAACCAGCCAGTTTGCCTCGACTGCTGGATGATGTTTTTGTTCGACGTAAGTTGTTCCATGTCCATGTGCATTTGACATTAGAACATCTTGACTTGGAAACCATTTATGCCTCAGTCATGTTGTGAGGTGACCCTCTTCAAGGAGACCACCCCTCCAAATTGTGACCACTTTTCTTTGGTCCCCTGGGTGGCCGGCTTGGACTGGCTTGACTGTATGTTCAAATTGGTGAGAAATGTTTTTTTTTTGTAGTCAGGATGTCAGATAGACAGACAGGTACTGTCTGGGGTGTGGCACATTTTCTAACTTCTATTTTGTCATACTTTAGTCAGAAGAATTCAGGAAGCCAAACATGGACTGTGATGATGCATGTATTTGGTATGTGTGTAGGTGTTGGAAACCTGAAGGTCATGGTCAGTTCTATATATATAGATTCCAATTTCAATGGCCTCCAAGGCTTGTATCAGGTGTGGACATAATTTCACTGTCAGATGATTGGATGTAACCTGTACAATTGGTGTCTAAATTTGTTAGTAGCTAGATTTTCTATTGTTTAGGTAAAATGGTTGGAATTAGAATTGGGATAGACATGTGTTAGACTTAGAGTTGATGTTGGAACTATGTTGTGTGTGTAATGTGCTTGTACAGTTACTAAGTTAGGCCCGGTTTACACGTGCGTCGTTTATATGTGCCAGGTGTAGACCGACGTGGCGGTTTTCCTGTGGCATCTCCTGGACGTGACACAGTTGTTTACACGCTAAAAAAATCTGTCGCACAAAACGCGAAGTGCGGCGCCGCTCGCGCGCACGCGTCGTTTCACGCCCAACACATATAAACGACGCACGTGTAAACCGGGCCTTAGTTTATCCATCCGGTGGATTCCCTATAATTTTAGCTCACCTGCTGAGTCTCCTACATCCTCTCCACTATTTGCGGATCCATGTGAAGATCCATGTTAGACCCTTTCATACTTTTCTCACAATCCTTACAAGTACACATGTGGGTGGTCTTAGTCTAACCTTTATAAGCACTGAGCTAAATAATGATCTTAGGATTGGGCATCCTGCCAAATGTCTGACAGGGTACCTTCTGAGATATAACACTCATATTTGTGTACCTTTTATATGGAAAGTCTCAAGTTTTATTTAAGTGTAAACATGTACTCATCATGATATCAACAGACATGAAATTGTTACCAACAAAAAAATGTTAATCCGGGATTGTTAGAATGGCATTTGTGACACTCCTTTTGATTTAATTATAACCTTCATGTTGCTCCAGGGTCCTCATGACTTATAGCGACTTTTTTGTTACCATGAAAATGAGATCAACCAACTGATGGTTGCTGTTGCATTCACTTGGGCCCTGTTGATACTGGGAATGGTTAAACCATTTCAGGTCCGGAGAATGTTTCAGCTGGGTTAACTGTTACTGGTCTAAAGAGGAAAAACAGTATCGTAGCTGCAGGTTTTCCATGAACTGACCCAAAACCACCTCTCCTTGTCTTGTCTCATAACTCTCTTCAAATTTATCTGCCATCCACATTCCAGTATAGCAACAGACATGTTTGACCACTATCAGAGATGGTGCTGTGTACCGGTTCACTGGACTGGTTCCAGACTTGTAAAAATGTTTAGATTCAAGTAAAGAAAAAAAAAGAAAAATTAAAGTTAAGAACCAATTCCGGACTTATTACAAAAAACAAAAAAAATCTCACATACCCCTTTTCTTTCCAAACCACCTAAAACCTTTGGAATTCATATCTTGCAAATTCTGTGTTGCAAAATGAAGAAAACATTGCTATCGGGCAAGGTCAAGTGTTGGCCTCCTGTATCTTCTGTGGCCACAGTTTTGCCCAGACAACATTGCAAGGTTGCCAACATGCAATTTTGTATGCCCTGGACTTACATACCTATTAACCTCTGGACTTGAATCTGGACTTGAACCTCAATGTGGGTTTAGGTACACAGCACTAATGAGAGGGCGACAAAATTTCTTTTCTTTTTTTCCAAAATCAGGCGAAAATCAACTTGCGCGCAGATGTCATCCATAAAAATTACTTGCAGTGGCCTGACCAGGTTTACCTTCCTGTGCAGGATCTGCGTACCAGGTGGAGGAGGAGACGTCCTCTGACAGTGACGACGAGGTATTACAGCAGTACAAGCGCTCCATGAGTCAGCACTCCGTCCGCAGCAAGGCCAGTGTCCGGTCACAGCGCTCCAAGAAGGGGGAGAAGCTACCCAGCCCGGCAGGTCAGTACTGAGGTCTTGTTATGTTTACCAAAGGAAAACATGGTTTTTGCTACATTTCTTCTTCTTCCTCTGTTCCAAACACTGACCTCTGACCTAGCCAATGACCTGATTTGTTGGCATCTCTCACCATGGTAACATAATGTTGCAATTTTATAGTAGGAGGGATTTAGACTCCTGTCTGACCATAAATATGAGTGTATTTGTCAGTAAGAATTAACATTATAGCAGACCATATCCAAAGGTAAACATTAAGCATTTGCTTTGCAAATGTTACGTTTCTAGTTTGTTTGTTTTATTATTAATTTCACACTACTCTTCCTGGAGTCTGTAGTGAATCACCAACTTTCAGAATAATAGTATATTTGGACCATCACACACCTGGGCAAGCCCTTATTATTTTGTTTTGAAAGGTGTGGTGGGTTCTTTATCGTGCATGGGGTTATATGGTTGATATTGTGAATATTGTTAAGCTCATTTTACGCACTTATTTAGCTGTCTATATGTTAACTGTGAAATACTCACTTGTTTAGTTGTCTATTTGTTAACTGTGCAATATTTGTTTCTCTGTTTTTAAACACTAGCATACAATTCAGCGCTATTTTTTTAGTTGCGCTGCCACATGCTAGAGATTGTACCCATCGATCAATCAATAAACAATTATTATATGGCTCTCCCCATTGAATTAGCATTCTAGGTAGCATTTGGTCTTTCCATCATTCATCTGCCAATTCTAATGACCATCAAATTGCTATGATATGTATGGGATAGATATAAATCATGTTTTGAAATTATACATATAAAATGTTTTTCCTAGGTCCCCCCCTATTATTTTAGTATTGAAATATTTTTTGTAGGCCCTTCTCACCAAATCAAAACTTTTTCCTAAGCCCTCCCCCTCAGACTACCGCCCCCCCCTCCCACTAGATATTGTACACTCCCAAACTCTAATTATGATTTTAGGCTGCAGCCCCATACCTTCATCATATGATGATAATATTCACAAGTCACATAGTTACTCTAATTAAAAAAAAGGATTTTCTCATTGACATGCAAATAAGGTCCTTATTTTGCTTAAAAGTAGTAGTTACATAATTATCTTTTCTCAGACTACTCATTACAAATACTTCTAAATTGATATAGAAATTTTCACTGCTTTCAGTGCTTTCAATTTTTTTGCAGTTTTTGTAGTGTTCTTTCACATGTACAGTACATGTACCTTTTAGGCCACACCAATTTAATTTCTTGGTTAACGGATTCGCCTGCTTCATTTTTTTCTGATTTGCAAATAAAAATAAAAATTCAGAATCAACTGCAAAATGCTCATATTTTGCCCTGAACACTTGAAAACAGTCCTTTTCATCCTATCATTTTGGGCCATAATAGGATGCCTAGGCCTGTTTTTATTTTATTTTTTTCGCCCGCCCGCTCCATGATTTTTCTAGAAAAATCCGTTAACCAAGAAATTAAATTGGTGTGGCCTTATCATAACACTTATAAAAAAGCCTGTTTTAGAATTGTTTTGATTTGTTTGAGATGTTGTGCACACACACAGACACCTGTTCCTGTGTATACATCCTGACATGTTAGAATGTTGTTGACACAGACAGACTAAACAAGTGCATGACCCTGAAAATGACTACTAGTAGTAAGGGGAAAGTCAGGATGTTCTTCCAAGAACCCTGACGTCCTCAGTACGAATCCAGTCACCAATCTTGTGCCCTTGGGAAAGGCAGTTTGCTCGTCTTTCCTCACTTCACCTAGGTGTAAAAATGGGTACCTGACTTTTTTGGTGGGGTAAAAGGCAGTGAAAGAAGGGGGTTGGGCTCCACCTTCCATACTGTGTCCTAAGTCACAACGGATTAACAACCCCCTGTAGCTACCCCTATGGCATAAAAAAGGCTATCAGACTACCTTTTTAGTTAAAGTTGAATGTACATGACATGATTGTATTTACCTTTTTTCCTATATGTAAAGCTTGAGTGACTTATGACATGTTGAACGGTTCTTTGCAGAGAAACCAGAAGCAGAAGCTGCGTACCAGCCGATCGAGGAGCCGGACTACCATCACGCCCCCCGCGCCACGCCGGCCGACCCGTACGCCCGGCTGGAGAAGGGGGAGCCGGAAGAGGCGATGGTAGAGAGCGACATCGAGCCGGACCACGCATCGTACCTGGAGTACGAGGAGGAGGGCCTGGACAACGAGGCGTACGACAGCGAAGGGGCAAACGGAGCGTACGGCGACCAAGTGTCGTACCATTCCCAGGAGGTTTGTTTGTCTTCTCTAGCTCTTTGAGTACTCTAACGGACAATTGAGATCTCATCACACAGGACAAGACCAAAAGAGAGCTGGAAGAGATATATCCCCATTAGAAGAGACTCCATAGCCTCTACCAGGCTTGGGGAGGCGGCTGGAAAGAGTAGAAATCGGCCAAATAGAGAGATAAGCATGCCAAGGGAGTTTGTCCGTTGAGAGAACAGGGGTGCTGCGAACTGTTCTCTCAACGAACAAACTCCCTTGGCATGCTTATCTCCTCTTTCCAGTCGCCTCCCCAAGCCTGGTAGAGGCTAGAGACTCCAAAGACAGCTGTAGATTCTTTCTTGACACCTGAGGTTGGACCCCCCACAGATACAATCAATTGTTATGAAAAATAGATAATTAAATGGGGATTAGCATCTAACCCTAACAATGACATATAAACAACAACATGGCAGCCATGTTTTCACAGGGGATTTTGAAAGAGACTTTTCAAACAATGGAATATTATGTTTTCGAAAAAGAGACTTGTAACTTAGTAAGAGACTGCAAGAGATCTCAGATAGAATGCGAGAACAATGCCTAATCTAAAGAGATCTGCTGTTTTCTCAATTGTCCGCTAGAGTCCTGAAAGAGATTTATCCCTCTACTAGTGGATCTCGCTTCTTCTCTGACTCCCCCTGGCTGGTGTGACTACTGGTTCTGTCTCCACCGGGTCGGATCTCTGACTTGTGCTGTGTACCTGAACCCACATTTAGGTTCAGGTCTGGATTCAAGTCCAGAGGTTTAGGTTGAGTTCTGGACTGGTACATGTAAGTCTGGACCTAAACCCATGGCATATACAAAATTGCATGTTGGCACCTTGCAATGTTGTTTGGGCAAAACTGTGGCCGCATAACATGGAGGCTGACACTTGACGATGCCCGATGGCAATGTTTTCATCATTTTGCTGCACAGATTTTGCAATCTGTTGAAGGTCTTAGGTGGTTTGAAAAGAAAAGGGGTACGTAACATTTTTTTAAAATGAGTCTGGAATTGGTTCTTGACTTTTTTTTTTTTTTTACTTGAACCTAAACATTTTACAAGTCCGGAACCGGTCCAGCGAACCGGTACACAGCACTATGAACCCTGACCTCTAGTCTAACACATATCGGTGTTTGTCATGAGGGTTGTGCTTTACCTCCTGCCTTCCTCTGAGTCTTGCAGGGTGGAGTGTTGTTCAAGGTTCACTTTTCTCTGTTTCTCATAGTTTGGGTGTATTTTATGACCTCTTCTCTTCTTATATAGTACATAGACTAAACCGCTTTGTCCTGAATTGTTCATTTAAGGGGCTGAGTTTTAAAAGTTAAATTTCAGCAACTTCACTCAATTTATGCCTGATAATCTTTTAAATTCTAATTGCTTCGCTTACTTACTCGACTTGTGTCAGACTAATAAGTGCCTGACTATTGTCTTATAAACTTTTATGGTGATCTCCATACAATCATATACATGTAGTCCAATGACTGATAAGGCCACACCAATTTAATCTGTTGCTTCTCGGATTTTTTTAGATAAAATATGGGTAAAATTTAAAAAAGAAAACAGGCCAAGGCACCCCGTGATAGCCGGAAATGGTACAATATGAGCTATGAAGGCTGGTTTATAATTAAAACAATATATTTTGAACTTTAAATAAAACAAAGTTGCATTGTTACATTGAGAAACTAGGAAGAAGAGGACTTTCTTCAACCGTTCGAGCCAAAATATGTCTTTTCATTGTGCATTTTGCAGTTGATTTAGAACCTAGAAAAAATATTTTTTTTTTGCAAATCAGAAAAAAATGGACAGGGTGAATCCGAGAAACAACAAATTAAATTGTTATGGCCTAATGTACATACTTTAAGGCTTTGCTGGATCAGAGCAGGTTGTACAGACTGAATACTTTACTTCACTTGAAATTAGGCCAAGGACATGATGAATACTAAGAATATGGTTACTTGTAGGTATAAGGCATTTCCATGATCACTCAAAATCCTCATATATGTCACCTACCGATCTACAGATACTCAAAAGGCATTGCGTGCATGAAAATTGGATCAATATCATTCAAAATTTGATGAACATTGATAGAGGGCTTTACGAGGAGACTGAGTAATTCATTGTCATGCCCCCATGCCAAATGTAAGTTCTGCCATTCATTCCGGGTGAGGCACCTGCTTTGTGATGCACTTCAGACTGACAAAAGGTATATATACATTGTATAAACTGTAATAATCATAACATGAACAGTATTTATTCTCTTCATGTATCATAAATCCCATAAACCAGAATTCACATGGCATGTATGTGTAAATTGTACTTGTCCAGGCTTTGAGTACTAAATTCTAAACTGTCGTCATAGTAAAAGACTCTCTTGTCCATAGCCTCTCTCCTGAAAGAGTTGTATGTTTGGAATACCTGTACCAGTACGTTGCCTTATAAGTCATGTAGCTGTAACTGTTAGTGTTAGGATTCTCGAGTGGTTATGGGGCAGGCTGTTTCCAGCCTGTTGCAGCTGCTAAAACCTGCCGGACCAGTTTTGCTGAAAGGAACTGTTGGTGAAAGGGCTTCATGAATATTGATGCTATCACTTGTCTGAGCTATAGGAAAGCTTCTCCTGGTTAATGCCTTGGTTGGTTTGTACACTACTGTAGAAGAGAAAAAGACTGAAATCTCGCAGGCATCGACCAGAAGGCAGGAGCATGTCCTCCCAGCTGAACAAGGTGGGTGAAGAACGGACGTATATATCCGGGCATGGGGGAAAAAATACCTTGTCACCAGTGTTTGTATGCAGCACCTATAATTGCAAGATGTTATTAGCATGAAGGTCTCTTGGTGCTTTTAATGGACTGCACTAGCTAGTGATGCGGTGGGGGGGAGCTAATTGGTGACGGCACTCAGCGGATAATGCACGAGAGACGAGCCTGCACCATTAGCGGTGGTTGGCTGGGTGTTGCCTGTGGTGTGAAGGCTGAAGGTGAGTGCAGGTGTCATGTGGATGCCACAGCGCGGAGGTTGAATTCCTCGTCTCGTTGTACATGTAGGAGGGACTGGGCGGCTTGTCGTCGGGGGACGAATCGGTGACGGCGTATCCCGTGAGCGATGCGGTGAGTGTAGACGAAATGTCTGTCGCCAGTTCTACTGCTCCAGATCCCAATTGGAAAAAGAAAACAGAGGTATGTGACAGAAATTGTCTTGGCTGAGTGTAAATTTTAATAGTAGATTCGAGTGGGCATTGCCATAGGCTATCCTTCATTGTATAATTCATTTTGTACATGTAAGGCTTGCTGTGTCTGAGCGTGTGTTGGAAGCTGAAATTTTATTGTTATTCACAAATCTCTCATCAGTTGATAATATGCTATCTGTCAGATTATCTTCTCTAGTTGTTGTTACACATATTTGATGCTCATTTTAACTTGCAAACCTCGGCTGTCAAATGGAGACAATTGACCTGTCAGTGCAACAGATAATGGGACGTTCATCATTTCATCATCTGTGAACACCAGCAACATATGCTACATAAATGCATGGGGTATTCCTATTCCATGGACAGCATGATTGTACATTCTAACCGTACCCTGTGCTTTCCATCTACCATTTACTGAATCCTTGGATGAAGCGAAATGCTTTTTGTTGTCTGCATATCAAAGGGGCCTTGCAATCTTTTAAAGTGCTGCACATACCGGCATAGACATGACTGCCTGGAGGTGCATGCAGATGTTGTTTTTCTGAGAATATCCCATTATAAATGCATTTAGGCCACAGCAAGTAAATCTTATGGATGACATCCTCCGCAGACTCCAAACCTAATGCGAGCGAGCAAGAAAAAACAAGGCAGGCGAAAAAAAAACAAGGTTACTACAATTTAGAATTTTGACTCAATCATTGTACATTGTTTTGATTCAGTGGGAATATCACATATACACAGCCAGCATCACATATCACTGCATCTAAGTAAGAAACAAAACATTAATTCAGAGCCTTTTCTTGTATCGTGTCTTGAAGTTAATAGGTGTCTGCCCTCCACCTTCCGGCATGGCAACAGACATCTTTGCCGATTTTCGGCATATTGACCACTGTCAGAAGGCAACAAAATTTCTTGTTTTTTTTCCAAAATCAGGTGAAAATTAATGCGCGCGCTGATGTCATCCATAAGAATTACTTGCTGTGGCCTTATGAATGCAATTTACTGGTCACCAAGGAAATCTATCTGTGCTGGATCAAACAAGGCTAAACAGGGATGGACGATGTTACAAATGGGGCCAGACTAGTTTGAAATCCTTGTTGCAAAAAGATGTATTTGGGTGCCCGCATAGCCTATTAGCCTAAGGATATTAAGAACAACTCTAGACATGGAGTAATTCTTCATGGAAATGTAGTCTAGAATGCAACATGTTGTATTCCATATTACCCAAGGTAGCCCAACCCGTGGGAGAGCTGGGACCGAGGGTGATGAGGAATACACTGTGTTGTATTTTATTTTATTTTAACACAAGTGGCCATGTTTTCAAAAAAATATGTATTTTATTAGCTCTATTTTCACATTTACGGGTTAGGAAAAGGTTAATATTTGATGACTGTGTGAACAACAACAATTATGTAGTATACAAAATTTGTGTAAAATTAGGCCACACCAATTTAATTTCTTGGTTAACGGATTCACCCGCTTCATTTTTTTCTGATTTGCAAATAAAAATAAAAATTCAGAATGAACTGCAAAATGCTCATATTTTGCCCTGAACAGTTGAAAACAGTCCTTTTCATCCTAGTTGTTACAGTTATTCCATCTTTCAATGCAACGGTATCATTAAAAGTTCAAAATTCATTGCTTAAATTTTGAACCAGCCTGGTGTGTTGACTTCATGCCTCCTATCGTACCATTTTGGGCTATAATAGGATGCCTAGGCCTGTTCTTATTTTTATTTTTTTTCGCCCGCCTGCTCCATTATTTTTCTAGAAAAATCCGTTAACCAAGAAATTAAATTGGTGTGGCCTTATGTAATACTATGTAGCGATTCCAGTAACTTGTCATATATTATAACTGAAAATGTGGTGGATATATCTTCATGACAGGTACAAAATGTAGGTCGAGGTTAAGGTGAATGAAGCCAAGGTGGCAGCTTTCTGAGTAATGACACTCACTCCTTAATACACCAGGGGTTCATGGCAGAAAAAAAGTTATCAAAAGTCATCTACATCAGGGCTCGAAATTCATTTTTGGGAATAGGTGCTCTGGTGCACCCAAGCTAAAAAAATTGGGTGCACAAACATTTTTTTGGATGCACTGCACCATACACAACAAAACATAATAATTACAGATAAGGCCACACCAATTTGATTTCTTGGTTAACGGATTTTTGAAGAAAAATAATGGAGCGGGCGGGCGAAAAAAAAATAAAAACAAAAACAGGCCTAGGCATCCTATCATGGCCCAAAATGGTAGGATAGGAGCCATGAAGTCAACACACCAGGCTAGTTCAAAATTTAAACAATAAATTTTGAACTTTTAATGATACCACTGCATTGAAAGATGAAATAACTGTAACAACTAGGATGAAAAGGACTGTTTTCAACTGTTCAGAGCAAAATAGGAGCATTTTGCAGTTGATTTTGAATTTTTATTTTTATTTGCAAATCAGAAAAAAATGAAGCGGGCAATTCCGTTAACCAAGAAATTAAATTGGTGTGGCCTAATACTGCTCCTCTTTTAAGCTTGAATCTGAAATGGGAGCTAACTTCAAAATCTTACACAAGTATTACAACAAAGATTTATTATTTTTTTAACGCTTAGATGCCAAGTATATCCTGCATATTATTGTTTGGTATGTACAGAAATACCAACAAAAATATTTGGGTGCACCAGTGCACCCACAGAAAAGAATTGGGTGCACAGCTCCAATCTTGGGTGTACTAAGGTGCACATGTACCCAGTATTTCGAGCCCTGTCTACCTGATCATGATGACGAGCTAAAAATTTCCCAAGGAAGAGACTGTGGTGGTGATGTTTAAGTGGTTGTTAGGGCAAGGGATGCCACCAGGTTTGGGCCTCACACTGGTAGAGCCAAAAATGTCTATAAAATGTCTAACGGACATTAGACAAGTCATGATTTAGACATAGGCTGAACAAAGGCCAGCCGGGAGAACATTCAGTAGACATAGTTACTGAAAAACTACATCGAAATAACCCAAGGTGGACATTTTATATCCATAGTCTCTTCACACGTCAGGTCAGGACACCCCTATACAGTCCTTTGTTTAGCACAATGCGCACTTATAAAGATATTAGCATCTGTCTATTAATTAATGGTGTCCTCCCCTATAAATTGTCTTGGCTTTGTGCAGTGCTTTTCATATGCATGCCAGTTTTCACACTTTTATTCTAAAGACATTCTGACAGACACCTCATGAACAATGGAAAACACAACAAGCAAGTCCTCCCCAAAAAGACCCTGTAAAGGCCTGGGAAAGACATTCTTACAAATGTTTAAAAAAATGTACAGAAGTTTCGAGAATGTTAAATGTCCGTTAGAAGTTTTATAGACATTTCTGGCTCTACCTGGGTGTCATCCTAGCTCCTTGTTTTATAACTCCTGCATGCATGGTGCCATTTTTACCTTCGCCAAGAAGGTTATGTTTTCAGAGGCGTTCGTGTATGTGTGTGTGTGTGTGTGTGTGTCTGTAAACACGATAACTTGAGAAGGCCTTGATGGATTGTCTTGATACTTGGTAGGTGGGTAGGTCTTGATGAGACCTCAAAATGATTAGATTTTGGGCCCCCTAGCGGCTTGTTATGGTACTGCAGCTGAACTTCCGGTTGTGATATCTCATGATCTAGACATGCTGGGGTGACGAAATTTGGATGGTAGGTAGCTCTTTTGCTGGGGAAGAAGTGACGTGAGTTTGGGCCCCCTAGTGGCTTGCTCTGGAACTGCAGGGATATATTCTTGAAAATATTCAAAAGGGGATAACTGAGATTATGATAAAATGATATGATTCATGAAAATTAGGTTCCCATTTGAATAATCTAGTGTATAATTTGTCAGTCATAAAGATTAACATCATTTGGCGAAGGTATGAGATCGGGGAACTCTAGTTTTATTGTGAATTCTGTAGTCATTAATAAATCAAGATGTGGATGTTTCTTCAGGATATCATTTGATTAGGAGGTTTGGGTCAGAATATATTTTATTAACTAAGGCCATGTTAATTTTATTATATGGATGACATCCTCTGGGAACCCCAAAATTGATGCAAGCCTGCGAATAAAAAAAAAGTTTGGCAAAAAAAAGTTGCTTTGATTCATTGATCTTGATCATGAAATCTACGAGGTTATGAAGGTTGAACAAATGACACAGTATGGTTTGGCGAATAATCTACTCTTCAAATTCATTTCTTTACATTTTTGTCTTTTTTGTTTGATTTTGGCATTCTACGACATTGGTATCATTTCCCAATATTTTTTTTTGCAACTTACGGTATATATTTGCTCATTTTGCAACTGTTTTGTATGATTTACAATGTGGTTAAAAGCTTTTTCTTTTTCGGAAACGGCCAAAAATTCATGCGTGCACGGATGTCATCCATATATTAATCAAATCAACATGGCCTTACAGTGAAGTTTGAAAATGGGCATTTAAGCAGCTTTTTTTATAATACTACAGCTGCAATTCCATGCAGCTTTGATATGTAAATTTAAATGTATTATAGACATTATGGTAACAATCTTGATGTTTGAGTGGTACAATGTATTTTGGGGCAGAATGTACAATATTGTAGGTTTGGGCCGCCTGTCTGCTTTGTAATATACTCGGTTGGGTTAAGGCGGCCTAGGCTGATATTCATGTTCGAGTTCGGGCGTGTGTCTGCACGATTGTGACATACATGTTTCGAATCCGAATCATGTTCCACCATGTTCGATATGACGTCATTCGAATAGAACGCGTGTTCGAATTCGGGGTTACCGGCGGTCATTTGTATGTTTCCCCTGTAAACCCGCGTTGTTACGCATTTTATTCACGGAGTATGACTTAAACGGCTTTACGCGCAGCTGAAAACAACATAATTCATCTTTAGAGTAATCCATGTTTACGTATTATCACTTTTTTATCAAAATTGTCCGAGGCTATTTTGCATATAAGTCGAAATTTTTTAACTGTGGCAATTTTTTAACCGAAAAAGACAGAAAAATAGCTGTTTCTGTCGTTTGTGGCCCAAAAAAAACATTGTAACTGTCATTTAAAACAAAATAGCCTCGGACAAAAATAATAAATAAGGGGTTGGCTTTCTACTTGTAAAATATCATGATGAAAGGTGTTGTTACCGCTTGCGCGTAAAGACATGAAGTAAACAGCTTTTTTTAAACCAAAATGTTGACTTTTAACCCAAAAATTCAGAAGTAGTAAAAACAAAATAACCTTTATTCAATGTGTTTCAAGTACTACTAGAACTGTGTGAAGTTTAGTTGTGGTGCGACCAAGCTATCAAAAGTTACAGCCATATGTATGAAATGCTAATCATAGTTGGCCATAGGCTGCCTTAACCCAACCGAGTATGGAACAGCAGTGGAGCATGTTAGGAATGTTGGAAGAGGATGACTTTTTCAGGGTCAATGTTTTGGGGAGTTACATGATTGTACATGTTATTGTAACAGTTTTTGGCTTTCTTCATTTAAAGCTGATTTGCCAAAGACAGGAGTCTTGGCTAGTGGTGTAAGTGAAGACAAAGTTAGTTCCAGGTTGTGGCATAATTATTAGTATTCAAAGATGCAAAAACTTTGTCTAATGGTAGCAACTTACAGTCTTTGGAAATGGACAAAAGCTAACTTACAGTTAAACAATTATTTGATTATATTGCAGACTCATGGTGAGAGTTCAATAGAATTTTTGTTTACATATTTGTCATGAAATTATGCCGTCAATATCGGATTCCAAAGCATTGTTCAAATGTACACATGTATGGCATGACTGGTATTTCTACTATAATTTGTATCACTGTTTTTGTCTGTGGTATTCCTGGACTTGTCTGTAAAACACACTTGTCTGTCAGAAAAATACATGTAAATACATTTATTATACATACATAATTAATTATTTACATTTATGTCGTACCTGGGCCACAATAATACTCGATACTGGTGTTAACATTCACCAGTGTGTGATAACTAACAGTATCTTACAGACTGAGAGATCTATTTGGTTATCACACACTCAGGCTTCCAAAAGTTCCATAGAATAATTGGAACACGTTTTGCATGCACTGTGTACACTGCTTTTGAAAATTCCAATACCGGGTTTGCAAATTGAAATTGACATTGTCAGAAAATTACGGTTTAGGGACACAAACTTTTGACACATTTTCCATTGAAATGTGTGTTTTCTCAGGTGGGTATGATTTTATGACATAATTATTGTGAATAGAACACAGTGTATTACAGTGTATGTATCACAGGATGGCTGGAACCTCGGCTGATACTAAATACACCGTCATGTATTCTACATTATATGACACACTGTTAATGTTTAGAAATCTAACTTTGCACATTTTGTTGATGGATATCCTACTCAATAGTATTTTTTCTGAGTAAAGAGACTCTTTTTACACAACCAACTTTTTTATTACCTTCGCCAAGAAGGTTATGTTTTCAGGGGCGTTCGTGTATGTGTGTGTGTGTGTGTCTGTCTGTCAACACGATAACTTGAGAAGGCCTTGATGGATTGTCTTGATACTTGGTAGATGGGTAGGTCTTAATGAGACCTCAAAATGATTAGATTTTGGACCCCCTAGCGGCTTGTTATGGTACTGCAGCTGAACTTCCGGTTTTGATATCTCAAGATCCAGACATGCTGTGGTGATGAAATTTGGATGGTAGGTAGCTCTTGTGCTGGGGAAGAAGTGACGTGAGTTTAGGCCCCCTAGCGGCTTGCTCTAAAACTGCAGGGGGGTTTAAAGGACAAATGTTTAAAAGAGGATAACTCAAGAACCGATTGATGGATCATCATGATTTTTGGTATGTAGGTAGCTTAAGTGATGCTTAACATAATGATATTACAATTATGCGAATATTGATGTAATTTGCATAATTAATGAGGAAATTCTATAAATCAGCTGCATTCCATGATAGGAAGTTCAAGCTTGTAACATATGTTATTAAGAACGAGAGAAACGCAGGCAAATATTGATTATGCAAATGAAGACTTAATTTGCATAATTAATGAGAAAATGTTATAATTGCGTAGTGGTAACTGCCTGGAATTTCATACTTGGGGTGTTTGAAAGTTAAGTGAAGGTGAACATAATTAAACATAACGTATTCAAATTAGGACCACATTTGCATAATTTATGAGAAAATGGCATTCTTTGTTAAGATAAGACTGTCTTTTGGTGGAGAATATGATCAACAGACTGATATAATTCATGCAATTGAGGATCCTATTTGCATAATCAGGGTGATTAGTATATTTCTTATTCATAAAGGCTAACATCATTTGGCGAAGGTATGAGATCGTGGAACTCTAGTTCAGCTAATATTTTGGTGACCGTCTGTCAACTTCCTCAGGGCAATTCTGACTGGTTCACATTGCACTACAGCACTTGTGTCGCTGCTACAGATGCATTCCCAGTTGTACAATATTGTACACCTGTGCTGCAATGCAATGCAATGCAAGACTTGGTAAAAAGAGTCTCTATATATACTCAGTGTCTTACCAACCTGATGAAACTATTCACGGAAGTATTTTTTTTTTCTTGGTCCTGCAGGACAGAGGATACTATGATGTGGACCAGCCGTATGATGAAGACAGCCAGCTCATCTCCAAGTGTGGAGTGTTGGAGGTGGCTTTCGCGTACGACGCACCGAATCGCAAGATGACCGTGTCCATTGTCCAGGCACGCGACGTCCCATCTAAGGACCGAGGGGGGACCGGTGGATATCAGGTTGGGATTCTGTTTGTTAGATCTTATTGTTGAAGAGATTCATTTGTCATGTATAGATACATGTAAAGTTACTAAGAAGATTCTTTCAGCAGTGACAAGTTTTTGAAGGGTAAGGATACTACTAAACCTCCAAATTTTTGATGACTATCAGTCCATCTTGTTCACACACGAGACTAGGCCACTCCGTGAACAAGATAGACTGATAGTCATTGAAAATTTGGAGGTTAGTACCCTTACCCTTCAAAAACTTGTCATTGCTGAAAGAATCCTCTAGTAACTGTTAGATCTTAATTTGCAAAATCATGCCTGAAGGCTAATTGCTTTTACAGTCAAAGATACTATTCGGTACAATACAAAAATAGGAGACATGCAGACAACTACTGTCTGGAGAAACTTATACTTATACTACTTTTTTTTTTTTTTAACGGTATCGCTCAATGCAAGGCCAATTATATTTGGCCACTTCTAGGCATAGAGCTAGAGGTACTTAGGGGAGTATATTGTAGCTATGTCATGAGATGGCGGTGGACCTTTGTTTTGAAGCTTTGTAGATTGTAATCGGACGGAAAGCAGCTGTTTGGAAGAGAGTTCCACAATTTTGCAGTCCGGGGAAAGAAGTTGTTGTTGTAATATGACTTGGAGACAGGTATGTTAACGGTGTATTGATGAGAACTGGAAGAGAACCTAGTGGCACGCTGAAAGGTTCTGAGTGGAGGAACAAGAAGTGCAAGTTCTCTTGAACATCGACCGTGAAAGTATCTGTAGAAGAGGGATAGAGATGCGACATTGCGTCTGTGTGAGAGGGAATCCAGCTTTGCGGCCAGAGTATGGCCGATGGCAACACAGATTCTCCTTTGAATGCGGTCTAAAATATGTAGGCAGTCTTTTGGGGCACCAGCCCAGAGATGCGAGCAATACTCCATGCAAGGACGGATGGTGGATTTGTACAGATACAGAATACTTGCAGGAGTGAGGTAGTTTCTGGCTCGAATTTTAAGCAGTGAGCCTACTTTCATAGCTGCTGATTTGGCTATGGATTCGATGTAATATCTACAGGACAAATCCTTGGAGAGAATAAGACCGAGGAGACGGAGACTCTCATTCTCCCGCAACTCGTTGCCATTCATGGATATAGGTGGAAGAAAAGGTTCCCGGTATCTGTTGATGGAGAGGAGTTTTGTTTTTTGGGCGTTGAAAGTGACTAACCAATTGTCTCCCCATTCAACGACAGAGCGCAGATCATTTTCCAACCCAGCTGCCATTTCTGTCTTATCCAGTACGGAACCGGGACCTTTAGAGTTGGAGTAAAGGGTGGAATCGTCCGCATAGACAGCAAGTTGGCATAGAATGTGGTCGGGCAGGTCGTTTGTGTTGGGGCAAGAACTGAGCCTTGAGGAACACCGGCGTTGATTGAATAGGATGTAGAAGACTGACCATCAAGAACGACTTTCTATACTACGCTTGCTATTATAAGGTTTGACTTCTTCTTTGAAGGCAGTGGATATTGAATAGTCCCACATTCTGCATAATGAGTGAGTTTTGTGATCTTAGTAGAAACATACAATGTAGTCTTTTGGTGATCTTCAATCTAAATGTGGAAAGTATGGAGAAATTGTGGTAATTGTCTGGAATAATCTGTTTCTGTCTGTCTCATAGTGAGGACACTGGCTAATAAAATGTGTTTCATTTTCCACTGCATTCATTGGACAATATTTACATAATCTCTCGTGCACAGGTAGACTAAGTTTTCTATAGCCTTTCTATCTCTAGTGGGTGACTGTGCATTTATCATATATCAGTCTGTACAATATGTACAGTTGGGTAAGACCAGACTTTAAGGATTGAACCACTCACATTCTTTTGGATAAGTGCGATGGGGTCTTGAATTGTGCTCGAGGTGTGGCTCTCCTCAAACACGGGATCTCTGCTTTACAGACCTGCCAAAAAGGGGTCATCAGATCTCACCTTTCAGAATTTCTGGTCATCAAAACTCACTTTCCTGCAGCCTATTTATTAATGCATACATTCAAGCGTTTTTGAGAAATTTCATCCACAAGCTATTCCCGCTTTTGTAAAATTGCTGGTTTTGTAAAGATCGGTCCACTTTGACCCCCTGTTCCAGGGCAATGCCAAGCGACTAGCAAGAGGGGTGTAGTATATTACATGTATCACAGAATCAGTAGCTTATAACAAGGCCATACATTGAAAAAACTCTACTTCTTTTTTTTTGCCAAAAGCATGTACTCAAAACCCTCCACTACACCTTCTCCAAGAATGTCTTTCTTTTTTTATACTTGGTATCTTTTGAGAGGACGTACTGCACTTTCAATTGCTTAAAAAATGTTTCTCAGAATGCCTTTAGAAAAACTGTGAAAACTTGCATGCATAACTTATTGCACTTTCAATTGCTTAGAAAATGTTTCTCAGAAGGCCTTTAGAAAAACTGTGAAAACTTGCATGCAGGCATGACTTATTGCACTTTCCATTGTTTAGAAAATGTTTCTCAGAATGCCTTTAGAAAAACTGTGAAAACTTGCATGCATGACTTATTGCACTTTCCATTGTTTAGAAAATGTTTCTCAGAATGCCTTTAGAAAAACTGTGAAAACTTGCATGCATGACTTATTGCACTTTCCATTGTTTAGAAAATGTTTCTCAGAATGCCTTTAGAAAAACTGAAAACTTTCATGCAGGCATGACTTATTGCACTTTCAATTGTTTAGAAAATGTTTCTCAGAATGCCTTCAGAAAAACTGTGAAAACTTGCATGCATACGAAAAACATGCCCCAGTATCATGCAAAGTACTTGGCTTTCAAAGGCAATCTAGAGGGCAGGACACAATTAATTATCGAGAAGACTCTAATAGGTTTATAAGCCTGCACTGTGCAAAGTAATGGGCTGTCTCCTAGGGGAGTCCCTACCTGACGTGTGAAGAGAGTATGGATATAAAATATCTCTATTTCCACTTAGCAAGATGTCATTTTTCAGCAAACGTGTCTACCTAATGCCTTTCTGTCTGGCTTTTGTTCAGAAATGTCTCAATCATGTCTAGTGTGTAGTAGCCTTTTTCTAGATGTTTTCCACTATACTATGATTATAGTACATGTACAATGTATATGGAAATACATTTTGTACAGTTATACTTGTCTAAGACAGCCACCCAGAGGACCAAGGAAAAGTGATCTTCTAAGACAATAAGTGGTCTTCTTAAAGTTATACAAAATGTACAAGAACTATGCCGACAAGACAAGACAGAGAACAAGAAAACCACAGCAAATTTCCATGCATTTTACAATAGATTGATCCAAACTGACCCAGCCTGTGCCATTTTACATTGCGCAAAGAAGTTGTCATGCTGTCTGTCCTTGGTGCTGAAAACATTATCTCACCATGACTTGCAGAATGGCCAATTCTTTCAAGATTTCTTGCTAGTTTCTCATCAGAATGATTTTCCGCCACTCACTTGAAAATGACATATGCAGAGATTGGACCATGTGCAGTCCCAAATAGTACCGGTGCATTGGTGGTCAGCTTAGACAAGTCCCTTGGGGAAAAAAATTGAGACCGAGAAAAAGGGGTCATCATGGCAGAGATGGTCGGCTTATAGAAATGTTCCTAATGATAGATAGGACTGATAGATTAAAAAAATCCAATCCCTTACATGGTGTCTCTTCTAAACAGTACAAAAATATTATAGTACCACAAGTTTGCTGGACCGTTACTTCATTGTAACCCAGGAACTGATTTATGATGACTGTGCTTCTATGTTAATAACCATGAGTTAAACAAGGTATAATTCTAAATATTAAAATTCATTGAGCCAAAGTGCGTAATTCAGACGTAATTGCAATTTGCATCAATGACCTTACTATGAATGATTTATGTTGTAAACAAGCATCGTAATTCAGCCTGTTACGTCATGGCTGCTAGTCATGCTGCTGTTGATACAAATAAACCAATAAACAAAAAACAACAATTAATGGGTAGGTTTTACTGTATACTACTCAGACTCACTCCTCTGTGGGCATGTCTGGTTCCCAGGTACTACTAAATGAACTGTGTAACAGTATAGTGCACAAACTTATATTGCTCGCTGTAATTGCTGTAAATCTACTCCGTGTTTTGTTTCTCTCTTTTCAAAACACTGTAATGTACTGAAGGTGGAATACACCACTGCGTGCTCCTATCGGTTTTAAACTAATAATGATCGCTGTTTTTAAATTAAGCTCTACATTCGTAAAAATTTGTGAATGAATAATATTTTGTCCTAACGTGTTGTCAGAATAAGCCTCGTAATTCAGCCATCACGGCTGCCAGGAGGCTTGTCAGTACATTTTATGTTTGCCGAAAGGGAAACATATTGTTTTTGCTCTGATTTCTCTTCTTCTTCTTCTCCAAACCAATAAGGTCAATGACCTGAACTAGATGTCTGTCACCATGGTAACTGGTGTTGGGTTACATCATGTTGCAATTTTATACCAGGAGGGATTTAGACTCCTGGCACCATATAATTTATGTGAATGTGTTTGATTAACAGAGCAGACCATATATATGCGAAGGTAAACATAATTTTGCATTTGCTTTGCAAATGGTGCCTTTCTAAACCTGTCTACTACTACTACCCGGTACTACAGGTACACATGGTACTGCTGCCCACCAAGAAGCAGCGCTGTAAGACGAAGGTCAGACAGGGCAACAACCCCGTCTTCAAGGAATCCTTTCGCTTCTCAAGAGTCAACCAAGACGAGCTGCCTGACATGGGCGTACGCTTTCGACTGTAAGTCTTTCAATTATAATATAATTTCTCTCCTTGCATAATTATACCCTTCTTTGATATTGATGATGATGATATGTTCATCCATTGTTCTTGATGAGGACCCTAACTTCATTTTCATAATTGCAGTAACTGTTTGAATATTATGCAGTTTCTTAAAATTACAGGATGGCAAAATTGGATTTTCAAAGTCAATTTTCTGGCAATTCTTTTAATGTAGTAACTTTAAAGGTGAATCAATCCTATCCCATCCATGTATCTTTGAGGCAAAAGTGCAATGTTGTTGGAAATTGGTTGCTTGCTTTGTATTATCAGCTGGTTGTAGCGATTTATGGGCGGTACTAAAAAAAAATAGAGATGCCTCACATACATTTTAGCTTGTTTTGGGTTACAGCTTATTTCAAACAGTCACTTCTAGTTTTAAATGATGGCAAAAATTTGCAAAGAAATGGCAGTATATAGATGTCAATATCAGGCAGATTTCTTCATTTAGAATATTTTTTTTTGTTTTCCCACCCTAAAAAAATTGCATTGGATGCCTTTAACTTAGCCCTTGTCCCTCTGACATTCCTGGCACAATATTTTTCAATAATTTCATGTCTCAATTAGATCATAGACCCCCAAATTTTTTTGCCCTGCAGTGACATAGTTACTTCCGCATTCGTTGCGTTTCGCTGCGGTGTGATATGCGTTGCACGAGAAATACCCCCAAATCGTACCTATACAGGGTGCTATATAGATGGTACTGTGTGCAGAACAACAAATGTTGCGCTCAGCAGGACAAGTTACTTAGTAAAGCTGTCTTCACAATTATGATAATGGCTGGCAGATCCTGTTACAGCCCAGGATGGCTGCTGTAATGACAGAGTAGCCTGTAACTGTTCTCTCTGGTTCTACCAGAGGGAGTTAAGTGCAGTTCTTTTATGGGCCTGGTGAGGTGTGTTATCTCTGGTGGCTCTGTAGGAAGAAGTTTAAAAAGTTCGTCAGTTGAGAACCACCCGTCATGGGGAATTTCGGCCCTTGGTTCAATATTCCCTCGGGGTGGGGGGCCAGCAGTGCAAAAACCACCACCACCCACTGGTGAGCTGTCTTCATCAGTCCTGGCGGTTGACTTCAACCTTCAATTCCTGATGCAGCATTTGTTAGGGGCAAATCGTTAGTTCGTTCGTTAACTTGTCTGTTATGTAGGGGCAAATCTGTAGACTTGTGTATGTGTGTGGGCTGATCAGTATTCTAGTCTTTCCGCCATTTGACAGAATTTTGCCACTCATGACGGACAAAAATTTTGCGCAATCCATCATCAATGACAGACAAAAATCAGCGCGATAAAATATGGAAATAAATATAAACTATAGAAGCTTTACGAAGTCTACCAGCAAAAGGTGCCCCTCAAAATAGTGTTTCGGAATGTCGAGATCTCAAAATTTCTAGGGGCAGCATGTTCTCCAACCTTCCTAGGACTGTGGCAACACCTTGTACCTTAGGTGCTGAACTTCTTCTGTTAGCTGTAGGCAACCCTTTTTTTTCAGTCCATTCTGGACATGATGTTACATCAAATAAAATTGAGATGACAGAGAAAGATGTCCACCTGTTTGCTGCCCTGCAGGTATGCCTGTGAGCGCATGAAGAAGGAACGGCTGATCGGGGAGAAGCTTGTTGGCTTCAGTAACCTCAAGTTGGACCAACGAGAGAGCATGGCGGTGACACTCCCGCTGGAGCCAAGGAGCAACCTCAGTGTAAGTTTGATGTTTTGATGTTTTATTAGATATCCATTAGGTTATAAATGGTTTTTATTGTCCAAACAGTACCCGTGCAGTCGCAGCCTTTGTACGGCTGAATTGATGCAGGGTATCACATAATAATCAATACAAATCACAACAATTACAACAATCAAATAATACACATGATACACATATTTGTTCTACAATTATTTTTTGTGGAACTGTCGCAAGGGTCTGTGCGGCTGCCATTCGGCGCCACAAGGTGACCTCAATACGACTTTCCCCAACCGAAGTTAGGTACCCATTCACACCTGGGTGGAGTGAGGAAAGTCGTGTAAAGTGCCTTTCCCAAGGGCACAACGTCGGGGCGCATGTTCAGACATGTCCAGGGTACGACTCGGAATCGAACCCGGGTCTCCCCGGTTCATAGTCGATTGCTCTAACCACTACACCACCCAACGCCACTGACATTCAGGTTAGACGTCAAATCTTATCTATTCTTCCTGGACTCATAAAACACAGAGTACACAAATGTAATTACAAATTAAGGCACATAACATAATAGTTGCATCCATTAGACTACAACTAGCATAAAACTACAGAGCAGTAAACAATTACAACTACAAAGCAACACGACATTTCCAGATTGCTTTTGGGAGGTCAGAGGTTGCATATAATTACATGTAATATATTCAGCTTCTTGCGTCCGCCAGTACCTTACCACCAGTGCTTTAAGGGTTTGTTTGTATCTATCTTGTGAGTCATCATGTCATTTATGGTGTTCTTGAACAGTGTTGGTGTGGTTGACCTGGCGTGTGGTGGAAGGTCATTGTGAGATTTTATACATCTGTAAACGAATGTTCTTTCCATTGCGGTTGTCTTCGGTTTAGGCAGTCTTAAGCCACCTCCTGTCGCTAGTCGGGTGCTATGGCCATGAGAATTGTCTATTCGTTGTAACCTGTCATGGATCACTTCTGGTTTTTCAGCTACCAAAATTTTATTGAACATTATTAGCATGTTTTTGTATAGTCTTCCTTTCACTGATAGCCAGTTCAATCTTTCATGCATATTGTTCGTGTTACAGTAACTGTTGTACTCAGTGTAAGTACAGAACACTATCATGTACAACCTCAGTGTAAGTACAGAACACAATCATGTACAACCTCAGTGTAAGTAAAGTACACAATCATGTACAACCTCAGTGTAAGTACAGTACACAACCATGTACAACCTCAGTGTAAGTACAGAACACTATCATGTACAACCTCAGTGTAAGTACAGAACACAATGATTTACATGTATCATGTACAAAAAATGTACAATCTCAGTGTAAGTAAAGTACACAATCATGTAAAAAAAAGGTACAACCTCTGTGTAAGCACTGTACACAATCATATACAACCTCAGTGTTTGTTAATATTATAATCATGCACAACTTCAGTGTAAGTGCAACGACCAACCTAAATCTAAGTTAGTCTACACATTGGCAACCACATACAGCCATCGGTGAAAGTATAGTACACATCATGTACAACCTTGGTGCAATCCACACATCATAGACAATGTTACTAATTGTAAGTCTACACAATGTACACCCTCTGTGAAGTCTACATGTACATGGTTATGGAAGATCAACATATCTTCATAGACAATGAATCATTGACACAAGACTAGTAAAGCATTTCGTAAATAAGGTCTTGTTGAGCTTGACATGATGGGAAATGGATATTTTCAGTTCAAATATTACATGTACTACACCATAAAATATAGTCGTAAAATCATTGTTTGTAATGTTTATATTTTCACCTTTTTGAAGGGAGACCTGTACATGTGTAAAACAGTAATTACCACATGAAATAGCCCTTAGCAAATGCGATAGTAGCCTGATGTTTGTTAATTATAATGAGGGCAGTGGTTCCACTGGTCGCTGGACCCATATTTACTTACAAAATGTAGTGTTAGTAACGAAATAATAAGACTATGCTGGCTGTGTTAACTGCGTGCCGCCAAGATAATTTTAGGGTGCTGGTGGCCCCAGGCGTGCGTGCCCTACTGACCGCTTGAGACTGAAGCACATGGCTGAAAACGGGGGCAGTTCCCCCTGCATAATATTTCAAATGAAAACGTGGTCGCTAGGATCAGAAATACTACTGTAACAGGGTTCTTTTTATATCGTGAGTTCTGTATTTGATTTGACAGGGAAAATGCTAAATCGTGATAAGTTACGTGCTAGAAATCCACACGGTGGCTCACAGCCCATACCTTGAATCCACATGATTTTTTTTTATAAATTAATGTTTTCCCAAAAGATTCTTTAAACTATGCACTTATTTACCACATTTTTTGTAGAGTGTCGTTATGTGGTGACCGTCATAGAAAACGTACGTGTGTGTGGTGTGGGGGGGGGCGCAACCACGCTCGAAACCCCCCATAACCAGCCTCGGGCCGGACCAGGCAGCAGTTTATGCGAACCGGACCGGGCAGCTCTTTCCGATACCCCTTGTCAAGATGCTAATCTTCATGTCTTGTTCTGCTGCAGTCTGCTTTTTTTCTTGTATCATTATAGACTTATCTGATGTTTTAATATATTATCTATGCATGCTTTACATATGGTGCATTTTGAATTATTCATGTATCAGATCTAGGAACTATCCTTAAGTGACCTTGGAAAGAAACCGTCTCTTGGCCGATACGCGCCTTACACAACATTGCCATCAGCAATGGTTAACATTACACCGCGCTGAATTATTCACGTTCATCTGAGAGCCACATTATAGTCAAATTCCGCCGAAGGAAGTTGGAAGATCATGAATAATTAAGCAGGTAACCATGGGCAGCTATGGGCGGGTGTAGTGCATGTGTCAGGAGATGGCAGCCGGCCACCATGGAGGCAGGGCTTCAGGCTACAACAGGGTGTAGAATGGGGCAGATTGACGAGCAGAAAAACCGGTTTCTGCTTAATCTGTTTAGTCGGTGGTGAAGTGAGACTATAGGAGGGGCAGCGGTGCAGCACACAGTCTCACAGGGCACAGACCATGGCAGCAAAATTTGTTCCTGCCGAGTTTCTCGAGGTGACCACAAACATTGATTAATCCATACTTGTTCCTTTCACAGCAGAGACATTGTGAATACCAGATAAAAGGTCCATGTGACCTACATGTTTGTACATACATGTACTCAAATCTGGCCCCATATCTGTTAGCTGTTTTCCGTGCATTGTCATTTTTCTGAACTAATATGGTCTGATACAGATCTGTTCAGGAAATTCTCTCTGTGTATGTTATAGGAATAGGAGTTACAATTAACGGGACATTACATTACATTACAAACCTTTCCTGACGTGTACTTCAGAAGGATGACTGTTATTGTAGATTGTATGTGTCTGTCTGTATGTTGACATTATTGTTGCTCCTGCTGAAGACAGACTGTGTCACCTTGCTGTTGTCCTCCATTAGTGAGCCGATGTTTCAGATATGATCTATGGTTGGCAACAACTGCCATGGGACCAACCATCAAACACACTGCAGCAGCTTAGTAGGAGAAGGCCGGGGGGGGGGCAACGTACCTTTAGCCACCTAGTACTGCATGTGCTATAATCTCTGATTTTTTCACGGTACGGTTATTTTTTCAAGTACTTTTATCGATGTTTACTTAACAGTTTTCACAGTCACTTCTGTACTGTGAACTCATCAATACCGTATGAAATCATTTCATCTCCTGAAGATTAAGTTCCATGAACATGTCCACTTTCCTCAGACTGTCAAATTTTGCTACCGTGGATACAAAGTGAATTACAGTACCTGTAACCTGTTTTCAGAAATGCTGCTTCTGAATGTTGTTCATTATTTGCTGAGTTATGTTGTGCTCTCTGGGCCAGGGGAGCATTTAGCCTGGGGCCTGTATAATTATCTCTGTTCTGTTATCAGTAATGTTGTTGTTTCTGAATGTTGTTCTCTATTGGCTGTCTTACATTGTTTATTGTGTCGGTACAAAACCAGTGAGATGTTACAAAACCAGTGAGATGTTACAAAACCAGTGAGGTGTTACAAAACCAGTGAGATGTTACAAAACCAGTGACATGTTACAAAACCAGTGAGATGTTACAAAGCCAGTGAGATGTTACAAAATCAGTGAGATGTTACCAAACCAGTGAGATGTTACCAAACCAGTGAGATGTTACAAAACCAGTGAGATGTTACAAAATCAGTGAGATGTTACCAAACCAGTGAGATGTTACCAAACCAGTGAGATGTTACAAACCAGTGAGATCTGTATCTGTATCTGTATAGCCGGTATAACCCCTTTTTGGCGTAACACACCTGGTTCCCACCAGTTGTACAGAATTCATGCCCGATGGCTAATTGCAAGAAACCTTTAGCAAGTACATGAGAACAGGCAAATTAATAGTATTACACAAAGAACTACTGCTAAACTCCTAAAAGCTACTGGGTTTGACTTCTTTTTTGAAGGCAGAGGAAGACAAAGATCCCACTTTTTCTGTAATTTGTGGGGTTTCAGATGTTAAGAGCAGATTAGTTTCTTTGAATTAAATAAATTTCAAATATTATAAGTATGTACTGTACACTTACATGTACCAGCCATCGAGGAACAGGAGAGAAGTACTCTTAAATTTGACTCATGCCTCCTTTGTGTTTCCGTGCTGCAGGGAGGAGACTCCCAGTTCAGCCTGTCAGGTCTGTCCCGCAGTGACAGCGGATCCTCCAGCCAATCCCTGACTCACGCCGGTGGCGTGCCCGAGCTGCTCGTCGGGCTGGCGTACAACGCAACGACCGGACGGCTGTCGGTGGAGGTCATCAAGGGCAGCCACTTCCGCAACATGGCCATGAACAGAGCACCAGGTCAGTACAGTAGCTACTGTAACAGTAACTCCCAACATGACCATGAACAGAGCACCAGGTTAGTACAGTAGCTACAGTAACTCCCAACATGACCATGAACAGAGGACCAGGTCAGTACAGTAGCTACAGTAACTCCCAACATGACCATGAACAGAGCACCAGGTCAGTACAGTAGCTACAGTAACTCCCAACATGGCCATGAACAGAGCACCAGGTCAGTACAGTAGCTACAGTAACTCCCAACATGACCATGAACAGCACCAGGTCAGTACAGTAGCTACAGTAACTCCCAACATGGCCATGAACAGAGCACCAGGTCAGTACAGTAGCTACAGTAACTCCCAACATGGCCATGAACAGAGCACCAGGTCAGTACAGTAGCTACAGTAACTCCCAACATGGCCATGAACAGAGCACCAGGCCGGAGGGCGATCCGACTCGCGGGAGGGCCGGGACCAAGGGCGATGCGGAATACACCGTGTTGTATTTTATTTATGTGATACCCACCCAAAAAACACGCCTTTCAATGCAAGATGAGCCAAAAGTTGGTGCCACTAAACCCTAAAATGCAACAACATCAATTCCAACGTCCGGATTCTGTATTCGAATTTTCGAAAGGGGTACAAGCGGGTAGGGCGATCGCGTTCGAATCGTTTTATGGAAGCCATGGAAGCGTTCGATAACGGGTTCCGGACCGGGCCGCACCGTAAAGTACGGCCTGGTCCGGAACCCGTTATCGCGGCCCGGGTATGATATAACAGTAAGTACGGCCCGGTCCGGAACCCGTTATCGCGGCCCGGGTATGATATAACAGTTAGTACGGCCCGGTCTGGAACACCATTATCGAAGGTCATCACGGCCCAGGTATGATATAATGCTAGATATCACATGGGTTGGACCACCTGTATCAAATGTTGTCGTGTCCCATGCATGATATATTATGACTGTCACATACATTCACTAGTTCAACAAGTTCACATGTTCAACAAGTGCTAACTTCAATCATTACTGCTACGTTACAGACACTTATGTGAAGATATGTCTGATGGCTTCCAATGGTCAAGAGCTGTCCAGAAGCAAGACGTCCATCCGCCGCGGACAGCCAAACCCCGTCTACAAGGAGACCTTCATTTTCCAGGTGGCGCTGTTCCAACTGTCAGACGTCACGCTCATGTTCTCAGTCTACAATAAACGGGGGATGAAACGGAAGGAAATGATTGGTTGGTTTTCTCTCGGTAAGTTGTCCTGGATCCTGTGAGGGGCACGGAAAAGTGAATTTGTGTTGTAACTACGAAAGGCAACATTTGTGAGTAAATGTGGCATATTTTACTCCCATTTCAAAATAGAATCTTCCATAGATATTCCCACAGTTACCAAAAAATTGATGTAGCCCAAGTTCAAAATTGAATTTCCCCTTGCAAGAATGGACTGGTCCAACAACCCAGAAGTTAATCTCTGGAGCTGTGGTGTTACATGTTACTGTAACAGTAGTTTATTTGTGGAGATGTCTGTTACAGTAGTTAATCTGTTTTACTGCTGTTTTGCAGGGTTAAACAACAGTGGTGAGGAGGAGCTGAACCATTGGCAGGACATGCGGGAGTCTAAGGGGCAGCAGGTCTGCAGATGGCACGTGCTTCTGGAGTCATGAGTCAGGCGCTCCTGATCGCAGACGCACGCATTCCTGGAACAGACACTGTACACATTTCTGGAACAGGCACACACATTTCTGGAACAGGCACACACATCATTTAAACAGGCACACACTTTCCTGGAACAGGCACATGCATTTCTGGAACAGGCACATGCATTCCTGAAACAGGCACATACATTCCTGGAACAGGCACTCACATTCCAGGAACAGACACACACATTCCTGAAACAGGCACACACATTCCTTAAACAGGCACACAAATTCCTTGAACAGGCACACACTTTCCTGGAACAGGCACACATTCCTAGAACAGACACACACATTCCTGGAACAGGCACACGCATTCCTGGAACAGGCACACACTTTCCTGGAACAGGCACACATTCCTAGAACAGACACACTTCCTTGGAACATGCACACACATTCCTGGAACAGTTCCCAGGTCTCCAGTACAGTCTGTGCCCCCTGGATCTCTTACAACTTTCTTTCAAATTGGTCAATCTGAAAAGCATCAGACAAGTCATTACTGTAACAGTATACCTGCCAAAAGGAAGTCAGATTAGATTCATAGCTGACACAAATTCTAACTTCCAGTGTCTACCTTTAAGAAGGGGAAAAGTATTCAAATTTTCAAGTACTGCATATCCCTGTATATCTAGACTATATCAAATTAACACTCTAACTTGCACTCTAACTAGTACACTATTACGGAAGAAAGATACCACAAAAGTACAATTGGAAGAAGCCTTTTAATTTATATCTGAGTTCTTTAATATTAGACATTAAAACTTAGTCTTAAAATCATTTTAGTATTTACCTCCTGAAAATTTCCATAAAAAAGTAATTTGCATGGTGTGCATGGATCCTTGAAAAACATGATAATTTCAGGTCACAGGTGCATCACTTAGTCACAAGTCTTTTATTCTCAGTCTTTCATTTGAAGTAAATACACAATTGCACAAGCTTAGCCACTGTTGCTTGCACAGTACAAGAGGTCTTGATGTTACAATCATTATGTATATTGGAAATGCACGGTTAAGATTCCATTGCATTCATGACAAGAACAGAAATTATCCTCCCAGCTATAATGTCCTAGTTTTGTATCTGCTGATAGTTAACTAATATTATAACACATGGCAACACCAACATTGTAACACCAAATACCAGCTGAAGATGTTTCAATTAAATAATTAGCATTGCCCTTCCAGTTATTATGAGAAGCTGAAATTTCACATGCAGGTATAACTAGAGTTCCATGATTACATAGTTGTGCATTAATGAATTTAAGCTTTACAACTGAAAAGATGACAAATTATAAAATCTATAAGATTATACCTATTTTACATTGTAATTTCTGAGCACTTGTTAGTTCCTCTTGAAATTTCAATTCATAAACAGGAAGTGTGTCATGTGAAATCTTATTTAACCGGCATCTTACATTGTACAACACAAGAAGGCACAGTTAGTACATTCATGTGTAACAATGTCCATTCCTTCAGGCCATGTTGATTTGATTATATTATGGATGACATCCAGACACACATGAACTTCGGCCATTTCCAAAAAAAAGTTTCCAACCACACTGCAAATCATACAAAACAGTTACAAAATGAGCAAATATATAGCGTAAGTTTCAAGAAGAATATTTAAAAACGATACCAATGTCGTGGAATGCCAAAATTAAATGAAAAAAAGACGAAAATGTAAAGAAATGAACTTGAAGAATAGATTATTTGCCAAACCATACTCTGTCATTTGTTCCACCCTCTTGACCATGTAGATTTCATAATGAAAGCAACTTTTTTTTTTCTGCCAAATTTTTTTTTATTTGCATGCTCGCATCAGTTTTGGGGTTCCCAGAAGATGTCATCCATATATTCAAATCAACATGGCCTCATGTATATTCAGTCCTATACACAGACTCAGTACTAGTGGATTAGCTGAACATACAAACCACTAGGAACAGCTTTGTGTTATGTTATCTACAGTAGTCAAGGTGGATGTTTGACTAACGTATATTGCCTTCTCGAGCTCTGCCACTAACAAGACAATGTCACTATGTACATAATGTAAGTTGCTCTATGTGAAGTAGAGGTAGGAAGAATGTGAACTAATTTCCTAAACAAGATCATGTGCACTGTGTAGTAATTTATAATCAGGCCACACCATCTGCATGTACATTGTCTGGGTTAGGATTTTACTGGTATACTTATCTAGTACTCATGCATACTTCATCAGTATACTGCAAATCACACCAGTATATATGGCATAGTAAACCAGTATACTGCATATTAAGTGAAGGAGGAATAAGAAAGAACTATAAAAGAAAGTATGAGTGTATACATACTGTGCTAACTTATCACAACAATGTAATATCAGATTGTATGTCCTGAACATAATGTTGAAAATTAAGTTATGTGGAGAAAGCAGGCACTTCGGCTTTAAATTTGTAGATGTACAATACAAGTAGGTGTTGAATTGAAAGTGTATGATCAGAATTAATTCCCACAATTGTTACGGAAACCATTAACTATTTTACAGTGGTTTGCTATTAATTATGATGTGTTTCCTGGGAAGCAAAAAAAAAGAACCAAATCCTCAAGCCAAATTATGTATAATATTGGTGTGGCCTATAATCACTGCAAGTAGAACTACTGAAAAGTAAAAAAGAATAGGATAAATATTAATATACAACTAATATCTGCACCGACCTTCTCAACCAACACAACTAGGCACAAGATTAAGTATTATATAAAACTGTCAGTAGTGGTGAGAGTTAAATTGAAATTATAGCATATTATATATGTATATATAGTGTAAGGTGTACATGATGTGTAGTAACAAATTAGACCTATGAGAATCAAGTGATACCCACACATGGACCTAACAAGGCCATGTTGTGTAGATTATATACCAATTAAGGAAGTTAGGAAGAACTCTATATAGCTGCTGATATGAATCCTCAAATGAATTACTATAGTCTTGTACATTGAAGACCACATGGTTTGATTTTATGTGTGTCACAAGTGAATGTTAACTTATTGTCTCTGAATATTCAGAGAGTGAGATAGTGACTTTCTTTTTAATTTTATTTTGGGGAGTTTGGCACAGAAATACTGTACATGATTGTGGAAGCAGAATACATCCTGATATGCTAATTGGAGATGTGACCGTTAAAGGACAAAGAATTTAAAAACCTAATTTCAGTTTGGTGCCTTTTAACCCAAATTTATGTTCGCAAAAGGTGATTCAATTCTTGGGTGATTATCGGTCCTCTGGCTGCTCTTCTTCCATTTCTTTTTGGTGGAGATGTTCTTATGAAAAACTTAAACTGTTCTCCAACTCAAAATTTGACTCATCAGAAATTTTCGACAACCTTTGACCCTTTGCTGACGTCACACGTGGGAAAAACCACGTGTCCACAGCATTTGGGTCAGATAGCTGAGGAAGACTGAGTGATTCAGTCGTGGTGAGTCAAATTTTGAGTTGGAGAACAGTTTAAGTTTTTCATAATGTAATTTACCAACTCAGCTGAACTTTCATGAGATGTTCTTATGTACTCTTTTGTAACGTTAGCAGAGTAGTGATTTCATGGCCAACTAAATTAGATTAAGTGGACAGCCTATATGTCATCGGCCTTCTGGTACCCCCACCTGGTGGTATAGGACCCAGCGTCAAACTTGAACAATGGATTTGGGTCAAATATCCCCCCTTGTGTGTGTGGGACTGGTACATGTACATTTGTACATTGTAGAAACCAATTTGAATCCCCTTTTGCAATGGGATTTGGGGTAAAAGGCACCAAAACTGAAATTAAATTTATTTTCACTTTAAGGTACGCAATGTATGTGTATCTGTGAGGATATATAATTATAAGGGGGCTGCCCAATGGAAGTGCTAAATATGGTATGTTCACACTGATGTAAGAAGATGGAAAATTTTACACTAAATAAACACAGAGTGTTTTGAAAAAAACTGCCAGCTGATTTTCATTACCACATTCTATTTATGTTTTGTTGCATTTTGGTACGTTTATGCGTGTGTATGTTGCATAGTATTACTTTGTGTGTGTGTGTCTCTGTCTGCGTGTCTTCATGTGTGTGTGTGTGTGTGTGTGTGTGTGTGTGTGTGTGTGTGAAGATCCCTTTTTTTCCCCTTTTTTTATTTAAGGATCAAAAAAGGTAACATACAACTTTAAAGGCATTTTGGGCAAAATCCTGGGAAATTGCAAATAATATTGCTATTTTTTTTTTTAAATTGAACTCTTTTCAGTATGAATTAGTACATCCCATATAACCCTATTGGCTTACAAAGATATATTAAATACCTATGGAAAGCACGGAGAAGTGGCCTCGCGTCATTCCAGTACAAGAAAGGATAATAGATACATGTAGAAGAACAAGTTACATGTAGACAAGAAAATCAATGCGTGCGATGATGTCATCCATAAAAACTACTAGCTGTAGCCTTGTATGTACTAGTTTTTTTTATGCGACATCCTATGAAAGCCCAGAACGACAACAGTTACAGTCACACAGGTGCTCACAGACACATAGGTCGTGTGCTCACAGACAAATAGGCCGTGTGCTAACATATCTCTGCACAGGCCGTGTGGATGTACCTTAAGCCTCGGTCACAACCCGCCATGCGTACTTTTTGTCCGTACGTTTTTTGGGGAGGCCACGTCTGCTACGTTTTTCTGAAAACGTAGGGAAGGACTGGCATGAGCAGTACGTCAACGCACGTCACTCACACGGTTGCGCAAGGTATAAGTATGTGGTCTGCACGCCACGCCTGGCCATGAGCGGTTGCGTGCATCGTTCGTTGCGCAAGTGGTAAGTGAGTTGTACGTGCTTACAATGTAAGATCTCTGAGCGATTGCCACTTTACCGTATGCAGGCCGTACTTACACGTGCTACTTACGTACGGTACGTATGTACGTACCGGTACGTACGAGGCACGACGTCGCCCGTACTGGCTGACGTACGGGAGGTGAATCTGCAGCCCGCACGCAGAGAAAGTTTTACATGCACTTAAAGTGCTACGGCGTGTCTGCGTGCTCCCACATCCGTTGGACTCCGTACGGTGGCGGTACACACCACTTACGGATCACCAAAATATGCCCACGTTTTTGCATGTAGACAGCATGAACGCAATTGCATGCGCACCTACAGCGGGTTGTGACCGAGGCTTAAATGACCTTGAGTAAAACAAGAGTATTTACTTAAGGGTTAATGACCCGCCCCGAGGTGAATATGGTGTGATAAAGCCTTGTCAGTTGCCATACAGTAACCACCGAATAAAGCCACTGAGTGAGCGCGGCGACCGTACCTGAACGATTCAAGAAATTAACATGTTCTTCTGAACTCCTTCCATAATGACAGAAACATGAATAAACTTGATAGTTAAGTAGTGTACGTTTTTGTTTATGGAGAATTCTTACACAAAACATAGGCAAAACTAAGTTAACTAATTATAACTCAGTTATTCTACCCTGCAACACAAACTGACCAAAGTTACATCTACAGGAAATATAACTGATATGCAACAGATCATCTTTCCGGGTAGTTAACACTGTCAGTCTGTAACACAAACACACTGTCCTTACTTTGGGACCCATGGGGGACCAGCTATTTACAGATTTGAGGTCACAAATAGGCCTATAGTTAGTGTGAAATTATTTAGGTACAGTATCAGTACACAGCTCAATTGGACTACTGGATCACAAAACCCACTCATGCAGAACGTAGGACAATTCATTATCCACCGCCTTCAAAGAAGAAGTCAAGTCAACCCCATAATTCTATGTGTAATAGCAAACGTAGTATAGTAGACGTATTAGGTTAATTAGACACTGTACAAGCAATTAGCCTTCGAATTCAGGCATGGTTTTGTTATAAATAAACGGTTATTACCTTCTCCACTACGGAAGGTTATGTTTTCGTTGGCGTCTCTCTCTCTCTCTCTCTCTCTCTCTCTCTCTCTCTCTCTGTGTGTGTGTATGTGTGTGTGTGTGCGTGTGCGCGTGTAAACACGATAACTTATTAAGAAGGATAAGATGGATTGTCCAAGTTGATATTTGGTAGGTGGGTAGGTCTTGATGAGACCTCGAAATGATTAGATTTTGAGTGCTGAGAAAGGAGGGCGTTACTTTTGTATATTTGCACTATCAAAACTGGAAATATTCTGAACAAGGCAATCTGTATTATGTTGACGCATACCGCCTATTATATCAGCCAATTTGCATAATAAAAATACATTTGGTGTTTGAAACAGCGCAGAAACTAGTCCAAAGACAAGTAGCTTCCTTTATTGGAGCCTCCTATATACTGCTGTAACGTATCAGATTTATACTTACTTGGTTTTCCCATGGAGGTATAATAGAGATACCTCCATGGTTTTCAAGTACATGCATGTTCGCATGTTCTTGACTGACTTAATCGCGCTCCTAGCGGCCCGTATAATGATGACAAATCACCGGCCGGCCAAGCAATCAACCCCTTGCAGCGAGAGATTGCGTAACACAGGCCTAGCTTCGCCTGACTAATTAACGCTATACACAGTAATAATCGGGAATATCTAGTCAGGAATGCACGAGAATATTCACATGGGCAATATCACAATCATTTTATTTCTCTGTTGGTCACAGAGAAAGGACGTGATTGCTCTAGGGGAGTTTGCTTATGTTGCCATGTGACGTCACTGCCCCGGTCTACAAATAAAGTCGCACTAGTGGGACAAGGCCACAGACGTCATGATACTCTATTCTGATGAATTTCTTACGTGCAGAATCGCCACAGAATAAGAACAACTAAGAGCTTCAAACATAAAGCAGATGTCTAAAACATTTCTTGCTTTTAAACTCATCACATATTTTTTGCTATAACCTTGAGAAAAAATGAAACCTCACTTTCTCATCAGGCATATACGGTTGTATCGTAGGCGGTCGTTATTGAGGGCATGATGGCAGATCAAGTTGTTTGGAGTTTTCCTGACCGTCGGAGGACTTTACGTTCGGACACCGCGAGTTTTCAACAAGTCAGAGGCCTTACCCGCTAGGGCGGGAGGGTAGAGTGGCGGTGGGGTTTGTTCTGCATCTGCAAGAATAAACTGGTAAGTTTAGGGATAAATTATGAGCAGGGTTTGAACTGTCAACGCAAGGCCTAGGTGCAGGCGGGCAACATAAAATTATTTGCCCGAAAAGTTCAGATGCGTGATAGCGTTACGCCGTATTTCTTATAAAGTTTCTCATGTAATTTGTTTGTGTCAAATCGTATTCTTACATTGCCGTAGTTGATGCAGAATAGGGGCTGTTTTCAGAAAATAGATTTCTAAGTTTTTATTTTCCTCCAAAACCCCCTACAATCCACATTTATGTCTGTCAGTCACCGATCACCGGTACTTAGCTGGTTGCGACCCACGTGACTACAGGTGTTATAACAGTTAGTAGAGAATAGTTGGACTGTTGAGGGGATCTTGTATGATTTGGGAATAAAGTTACTATTATGATTATGTTATAACGCTTGAAATGTGAGCTCCAGAATTTCCTGACCAAATTATTGATTGTGAAAAAATGGAGTTGGACTGTGGGGGTGTAGGGGGGTGGGGGGTGTTGTTGGGTGAGTGGTTTGGTGGCCGGTAGGTACATGTAACGTTACAGGAATATTGTTACTAAAATATGTTTTCCCATAATAATTTTGGGCACCAGGAAAGCTATAAGCTGACCCTAACCCCCACCCCAACCACAATCCCTAACCCCACCCCTTACCACTGCTAGCAAATCTATACACTTGTAAGCATTGCAGCATATACAGTGAATTGTTAAACTTTGGTGTATGTAACGTTACATTTTTGTAAAGAAGTGGAAATGTACACAGCAAGTAGAATTATTCTTTGAGTTCCAGGCAAAGAAGAGGCTATACTTTTTTTCCGTGAAGCATAATTACTAGTACAAAGTGTGGTACCCCAAGTAGTAGTGTCGGAAATTTTAACGGGTATTCTCATAGCTGGCTGCTTTAAGGTAATGTTACGTAGGGTAGAACAGTGTCTGAGGCCAATAATGAACTATCGTACAAATAAAAATGATTGTTACAATGTCACTTTATCTTACTGATATGCAATTTTTCCCATCATAATCAGTATATTTCAATGCTAAATTGATGTGTGAATTTATGTATTACTAATAATACTATTATGACGCCCTTGCTCATTGTTATGCATTTTTCGGAAATCAATTCAAGATCTGTACATGAAGTTTTAGTTCCACAACATAGCATGCTCTTTGTTATCCTAAATTCATCGTTAATTAGTGAAAATTTTTTTGTATCATGTTGGCAAATGCCCTAATGGAATACAAATGAACTACTTAGTATGAGTATGAAGCCTCCCAAAGCTAACTAATAATACACATAATACATTGTTATAATAATACATTAAATAATACATTGTTCTTGACATAAGTCAAGAACAACTTAACTTACTGTTAAGCGTTACTGCAGGTCTTCCTGAATTTTCCAACTGTACATTTGTAAGTAAGTACTAGTAGTATTGCCAAGGGTTGCCAGGATACCCCATACATATCCTCAAAGAAACTTCTTTGCAGATACATTGCATGATCAAAAAGGTAAGTGTGTGAAACGAACCCAGGATGACAGTTTAAAAGCCATGATTCTTTGAAATGTTATGGTGATGTGTATGTTTTCTGACAATTGCACTTTGTTTGGCCACCTTACAGGAACATTGACGATGGAAACAGGTACATCATCGATCGACGCTCTACCATCCTGTGATATTTTTTCAGTTGTGATTCCAAAATAGCTAATTTTTGTTATTTCTCTTTGTGACAGATTGTCCACTGTTGAAGTCTGCAACCGTGTTGATCAAGCCGCTTTTCCCCGGAGGAATTATTCGACATCAAAGGAGATATGGAAGTAACAGAGCGGGAAATTGACAGAGAGGACAGTTCTTCCCTGCTATTATTAGACTTACCGCGGTGATAACACAGTTTACTGGCAGAGAGAGTCTGTGGGAGAGATAGAAGAGCTCAGGAAAAATAACCTCTCCATCCAAGCAGTCCAGCATGGAGCACTTCACCGTACCACCGGGACTTGGCGGTTTAACCAAGAAAACTTCTGGACGGAATATGACAGGGATATATCTTGGAATGGTAAGCCATTTTAACAATAGTGTGACTGTTGATTTGTATGTCTTCACTCATCATTGTAAAAAACATTTATTCCTGTATCAATCTATCTACCTACTGTTTGATACAATTATGATAGACTGATTTTATGCATTATGATTTTTTGTACTTCCCTTCCAATATATATATATATCATACATATGTACTTGAAATACACACAATGCTCTCTGAACACATGCTCCTTTGCTGCCCCCTCTGAGTACGTGTAGCTTCTTCCACCATGACACACGCATATATCAAGTGCCATTAGAACTGCCTACTGCCAGACTGTCTACATCAAATAATGCTGAGCTCCCACTTCTATAACCTTTAATTTTGTACATGTAGGTTTATCGTAGAATCATGAATATTGTTAATGTCATCCTGGGCCTAGATAATTGCTAGCCGGTATAGGTAACTACATCCATGGTAGATATACCATCTAAAGAAGACTAATTGTTATGTGCCTCCAGTAGCTTTTAAGCTTTTCAAAAAAGGAATGACTTTTTAATTATTGTCCAGTGCATCAGCTTGTCATGATAGAGCTTAATATCCAAGCTACTGATTGAGATAAATGATTCCACAACATACTCATTATGGTCTTACACAATTTGGGTAGTGTACATATTCCATCACTTCTTTACTGTATCCTGACATTAAAGGTCATTCTTTCTGTCAAACTGAAGATCTGTTTTAGTTGTCCAGCTTGCTTTCTTCTATGTTCTCATCAGTATTGACTTACTGTTCATCTTGATGTGCAACCTGCGTAGGATAGAAAGATGGCATTTAAGCATGATAAAGATTAAGCTTGCATAACAGATATAAATGATAAAAATTAAGCTTGCATAGCAGATATAGGGCTATATATATCCTAAGTTACAGCTAAAATTGGGAGTAGGTGGTGGGTTAACAATGAGAACATTGCTGGCGCCCAATCCTGTAAGTCAGAAGAATATTGTTCATGAAGTGAAGCATTGGAAAAGTAGACTGAGAAAATGTGAAATTGTCCAATGCTCACTACTGCATTGTACTTTTACCTAAAATGCACACTCTTTAAATCTAATGGGGAAAATGTTGTTATGCAGCGTGCAAATTACGCTGCAAATTTTACTTGCGTTAACCTATTTTTGAACCTACATCATGAGTGAGTACATGTGTAGGTAGCCCCTAGGTGCTACCTGAATTTTAAGAATGGGCGTCCCTCCCATAATAATGCCCACTTGGCTTGCACGACTGTATCTGGCAGATGCTTTTTAATTTTAGGTATTAATGGCTATTATCATATAGCCAGATGACGTTGACCAATCAGAGGACTCCATTCCCCTCATAACCCAGGTCGTTAATATCCGATATACGGACCTGCGGGTCCGTAACCGACGCTACCATTACATGACGGGGGTGTTTTCTTCTAACCTGCTGCTAATTCTAAAGACTTTTCTGATAAACTTGTTTATGTAGAGTAGTAAATTAATTTAGTTATGATGAAACTAAATACAATTAACATCAGCAGTAAAATCAGGGAAAAAGCATTATTTACAAATATTACTCTTTACTTGACACTCCTATTGTACTCTTCGGCCAACCACAGAGATGAATTTGGACAAGAGTGGAAGGAATTCAGGGTAAAATTCACTGGTAAATCCCGTTCATATGCAACTTTCAGCTTTAAACAATTGGTTTGTTGTGATGAGAATTCACTTTAATGCAAGATTAAAATATTAACATGTTACGCATAAGTTGTTTCCCTTGTGTGTCAGCTGTACATGCATATGTGATAATGTTATTGTTGTTATTATTATAATGTCTATATGATAATAACGTTAATGACCCGCTTTCCTTCGGTGTATACGGTGTCATAATTCATGGTCGGTTCCTATAACCACCTCATAAACGACCTCGTCCGCTCTGCGGACTCGGTCGTTCATTCGGTGGTTATAGGAACCGACCATGAATTATGACACCGTATACACCTCAGGGCGGGTCATTAACCCTATATTACTAGTATCAGTTAACTACAGGCTGTTAGAAATATCGTCAAAGGCTTTAATATGTATTTTAACATGATTACTTAATTTGAGGAAAGTAGTAACTTATAAGTTACAGGTGGGGCAACCTAAAATTCTGATGGGCAACCTGATTTTTGCTGTAGGTTGCCCACTGGGCAACCTGGTTCAAACAAGTATTTTGTACACTGTTATGACTCACCTAATGTTCTTGTTGAAGAAAGGTCATCAGATTCTGTTCTGTTTTCTTCTGTTTTCAGGATGGTAAATCTTCCCCTCCCCAGGAAGGAGGAGGCCAGCCCCGCCATTCCATCCCACCCCTGGCCAGAGGCAGGGGAATCAGGGTTAAAACCCCCGTGGAACACCAGAGATATGTGAGTACCTTTTGAAGTATGTCGGCAGAATGTACTATCCCTGTGTAAAACATGGAACATGATTTACTAACACATCTAGACAACATATCAGGGTGTTTTTGTGTATTTAAGGCCACACCAATTTAATTTATTGGTTCTCAGATTTTTTTCAGAAAAAATTCAGAAAAAGCGACGGCGAAAAAAATAATATTAAATAAAAACAGGTCTAGGCATCCTATTACAGCCCCAAATGCTACAGTAGGAGCCATGAAGTCAACACAAAAGGCTGGGTTCATATGTAAACAATGAATTTTGCACTTTTAATCAAGCCACTGCATTGATAGATGAAAAAAAAATGTAGGAATTAGGAAGAAAAGGACTTTCCTCAACTGTAACTAAAATATGAGCATTTTTGAGTTGATTCAGATCAGAATGAGAATCTTTTTTTTGCAAATCAGAAAAAAATGAAGAGGCAAATCCAAGAACCAACAAATTAAATTGGTGTGACCTAAGGATGATATCCCATCTGTGGTTTTGATATGTTTTGTCAGTAAAGACAGCTCAAAATACTTTATTCTGCATACCCACACTCACCCGGTACAACAATGAAAATTACCTGCACCAGACAGATTTTACCTTCACCAGACTTTGAGAATCATACTAAAAACAGTTTAGCAACTATTTGCCATTATTTCTTTTATACTTCATACATGTAGGTGGTAACATTTGATGCAGGAAATAAAAATCCACATATACCTACATGACTGTACATGATTATATATACATTGTATGTGTATAATCCCAGCTCTGCAATGATATTACAAAAGTCAATGATTGTACTCAAAATCTTATTTCTCCTTCCCAGAAAAAGGTTGAGATGTTCCGAGCTCGAGAGGAGAGTCGTGGATTTCCAGCCAAACAACCCATCAAGGTTTGCCAGCTGAGTTGTTTTTGATAATAATTTACAATGATGGCAGGCTCAGGCTACATCAATTTAATTTGTTGGTTCCAAGATTTTTTAAATTTGCTCAGGCCACAACAATTTAATCAATTGGTTCTCGGATTTGTCTGCTTCAATTTATTTTCTGATTTGCAAAAAAAATTCAGTTTTTGTTTCTGAATCAACTCCAAAATGCTCATACCGTATTTTGGACCCAACCATTGGGGAAAGTCCTTGTCTTCCTGGTAGCTGTTACAGTTTTTCTATCTAACAAATTGAATGCAGTGGTTTGATTAAAAGTTTTTTGAATTATATTATATATTGAAGCAGTCTGGGATGTTGGCTTCTGGCTCTATTGTAGCATTTGGGGCTATGCCTAAGCCTATTTTTATTTTTTTTGCCCAGTCGCTTTCATATTTTTTTGAAAAAAAAAAAAAGAACGATCAAATCAAATTGCAGTGGCCTTAACTGAAAAAACAAACAGATCTAAGGACCAGCTGGTTGATGCCTGCTTGTACTGAGTTTTATTGGGTAATATTTAGATATTTAACTTTTAAGTCCTCCTATAGTGCTCTGCTTTCATGATGTCTGCTTGCTGTAGCTTCGGCTTAATATGAAGGATGGAAATAAATTGGTTTGGCCTTACCATGCCTGTCATGAAAAAGTTTAGAAAAAAGCAAAAGAAGGATCTTCAAAACGTAAGACATATGGCAATAAAGCAGTTCTGTGTGATTTTCTTTTTCTTCATTTTTCAGTATTTTCTATCTTGGTAGTCATTTGTAACTGGTACATGTAGATGACTGTCAGTGTCCTGCTTATAAAGTACAATTTCATGCAGAACATGGTGTTTTTAAAATTAGAATTAAGAGGGTTATGAAATGTCACAATCTTCAAGAGAGATGCCTCCAGACCCCCTGCAAGGCTGTGCCCGCAGTGTTCTCCTCAGGGCTCTAGCCAGCTTGAAATTTATTTCTGTCAAACCCAGGTTCATCATCAGATTTGGGGACAGGAACGGCGTAGGTGCAACATGAGCGCAGAAGCCGCTCGCAATTTAGGGAGGTCTGGGAGCATGCTAGCCTAAATCAAAAAAATGATTTTTTTTAGCGTTGTGGAGCAAAAATCCGGATGGCACCCAGGCTAGGGGCATGCTTCCCCGGGAAATTTTAGATTTTCCTTAACCTTAAAACATGCAATTTCCCACATTTTGAGTCAGGCAAAAATATGATATTGCGAGTGATTGTCAGTACTGTTGTCCTTCGGATGCTTTCATATTCTTACCCAAGAATTTTGTTAATTTTTGTCTGTCAACGTTGACAGGTTGGTTTTAAGAAATTTCCGTCACATGCCACAAAGTCCCAGTAATTGACGGAAAAACTGGTGCTCAGACTAGAGGTCTGGTTCTCCTAGTGGTTTTGCCACACTTGGTTTCCCTACACTGTGAAAAAATCCTGGTAAGAACCCGGTGAATACCAATTGGGTACTTTTTCAGAATTCTTTCATTTTAAGATATTAATCTACTCCCATGTTGATCTTCAACAGAGAGCCAAATACAGCCGCCGGCCCCGACAGACAGATGAGACATCGTACTCTGGATCCGGCCGACCTGTCTCACCCAGTGAATTTAAGAACATCACAAAGTAAGGATAGTTAGAATGCCTCCATGAAAAATGGAGGTATTGTTTTGGGTGCGTGTGTTACAGCAACTGTTGATATGAGAAGAACAGAGCAAGCTACCATTTACAATCAATTTGTTAGAGAGGATGTTGAATTGAAATTATCTGTGTATCCAAGAATATCAGAATTCAGATCTTGAATATCAATGTACAGCAACATTTGATGTTCCACTTTATGGTGTTTTTCAGAAAAACGTGGCGAAATTACACGCAGATTCTCAACAATGGCATGCAGCGGTTAGAATACCTGAACCTGGATGTCAACAACCCCAACAAGATCCACGCCGAGCCACGGGTTGTGAGAAGAGAGCCGCCAACACAGCCCAGTACTCCTGCTGAAGAACATGTGTCCGAGGATCACCTGTATGACGAGATACGGAGAGTAGTCACACTGTCTGACTATCAGGTGACTGGCTTTTTTTTTTTCATTTCATTTATTTATCTGCACCAATAAAAAGACAAACAGTAATCAACAAAATGCAAAACAAAGAAAAAACAGTGTGCAGGAGGAGGAAAGAAGCCTGCAAGGCTTGTACAATGTCCTCCTCCTTGAAACTTTGGAGTGAAATATTAATCATGAAACTAACATAATAAATTAACTTAACCTATTAATATAACAGAACAAAACTGATTCAGCTAGATCAGTGTATATAGCAAACACAATAGTACGAAAGTGACCAAAAAATAAAAGGACACTTTCTGACATAAAATATAGCTGGTAAGATCTGTCCATTAGACTAACCTTGAATGTATAAAAATGTTTTAATAAATTAATAGCACATATATTCACATTAATTCTTATCATAAGTCCTCTAAAAGTGGCTGAAGAAGAAATGATCTTTAATAATATTTCATTGGATTTTGAAAATCAATTTCAGGATCATTATTTTAATGTGGAAAGTTGAATCAATTCTATCCAACAACGGACTGATATCTGTGAGGCAAAAATGTGATGGAAAACGGTTGACTTTTATGTATCGTAGGCTGGGTTTACATGTAGTAGTTTATGGGCGGTACTCCAAAATGTAGGGACTCCTCCCATAGCTATATAGCATGTTTTTGTGTTATTTAAAGTACGCTTAAATGGAATGATGACCAAAAATGTGCTAAGAAATAGCAGTAAATGTCAGTATCAGACAGATTTCCTCATCCAGAATATTTTTGTTTTTACCACCCTTTGATTAATGCTTCTGATACATGAACGTCAGTAATTTTTTCTTTCTGGTGTGTATGTTTAACAGAGTAACCCACAAGCCTTGCATGGTCTGCTGCCCCATCGGCGGGCTCACACCCACCACGGCACCAGGAGACCCAGGTTCCTCACCACCCCACTCACCATCAAGTAGGTCCCAACACTTCTTTAGGCCACACCAATTTAATTTGCTGGATGACTTGGATTTTTTCAGGAAAAATATGTAGCGACAGGTAAAAAAAAATAAAAAAGTGAAAGTGATCTCGAACCAGTTTAGCTCATTGAAGAGCTAATCTTCCACTGGTCGTAACATAAAAGACAGACGCTATGTACAGTATTTACAGGTTCATTGTACCAGGGAAATTCCTAGCTCTTTTTGACAAGCACAATGAACAGTGGACCACAGCTTAACGTCCCGTCCTAATTTAAAAAATAAGGACTGCGTCCCTAAACAGTAGCGTGCATGTCGGGCGAGCGACAACAGCCGGGATTCGAACTCCCGACCTCTTAGTCCAGAGGCAAGATTGCTAACCACTGGACTATGCACGCTACTACAGGTCTAGGCATCCTATTTTAGCCCCAAATGCTACAATAGGAGCCATGAAGTCAACACAAGAGGCTGGGTTGATATTCTATTCAAACAATGAACTTTTAATGGAACTACACTGCAATGGTAAAGGAAGAACTGCAACAACTGTAAGAAAAGGACTTTCCTCAACTGTTGTTAAGAACCAGAATCTTTTTTTTTTTGTAAGTCAGAAAAAAATGAAGAGCCGAATCTGAGAACCAACGAATTAAATCAGCGTTGCCTTATAACAAGACTTTAGTTTAGGCCTAGGAAAATTATTGTGTTTCCGGTTTTGGTCCTGAAAAAACTAGGGTCGGTCCTGAAAAAACTAGGGTCGGTATTGTTTATTGTTTATTTACCATTTGCACGTATATTAAAAACAATTACACAATCAAATAATAATAATCAAAGAATGTGCGGGGTAGGCCAGAAACCTGGGTGGTTTTTCTAGAGGCCTACCCCAAGCAAAGATAACTTATGACAAAACATATTTAAATTAAACATCAAAATTAAACAATGAAATGATTAAACAATGAGTAATTAAACAAAATCAAGACACAGAAATAATAACTGAGGTGTATAAACTAACTAAAACGAAATTGAACAAAAGTCTTATACCTGTAATTCAGGTAGATGTTACAGATTAAACTGATTAAATAATTAACATAAGAATTAACGATTAAAACAAAATATTAACAATAACAAGGAAAACAAACAAATCAGATTGTGGATGTACTGGGATTTTGTAGGAAAAGTTTTTAAGAAGTTTTTTAAATACAGGAGTTGACTGACAGTTTTGTAACAGTTGGCTTAACTTATTCCAGACGATGGGGCCTCTATACGCTATTGAGAATTGTTTTTGTGTAGATTTAGTCTTGGTCGGCCTTAAATGGTTATGTTGTCTCGTATTGTGCTGGTGAATGTCTGAGTTGAATGTAAAAAAAGTGTTGAATTGATCTGGTAAACTATTGGTATTATGAACGATTTTATGAACAAAAATGGCTATTTGTAATTTGTTTAAGTCATATACATTTATGATTTTTAGTTCACGAAACAGAGGTGCTGAGTGTGCGGTGAAGTGTGTGTTAGCTGCAATTCTAACAAAGTGTTTTTGCAGTTGATAGAGTGGTTTAATTGAAGTTGTGTAAGTGCTCGCCCAAATGAAATTGCAGTATGATAGATACGGATATATTAGACTGTAGTATAATGTTATAAATATTCTTCGTGGGAGGAGGGTCTTTATTTTTCTAATGATGCCTATGTTCTTATGAATCTTATTGCAAATCAAATCTATATGTATCTTCCAATTAAGTTTTTCATCTATAAGTATTCCTAAAAAGCGAGTGTGGTTTACTTGATTGATACGTTTATTATTTATATATATGTGGGCTTTTTCTTTATCATACTTCTTTTTTGGTCCAGAAAAAATAATAAAACTTGTCTTCTTTATATTAAGGGATAACTTATTCGCCTTGAACCATTGACTGACCTTTTCTAATTCTGCATTTACCGTTGTCAATAGAGTATCAAAATTACTGTGTGACATAAATAAGTTTGTATCATCTGCGAACAACAAAGTAAAAAATTTATCTGATACTAATGCTAAGTCATTAACATATATTAAGAATAAAAGGGGGCCTAATATGGAGCCTTGCGGAACTCCACAAGTTAAGGGTTTCTGAGAAGAATTGATGTTTCCATTAGAGACGAATTGTTTTCTGTTACTTAAATAATCTTTCAGCCAACACAGGTCTAACTCTACCGGTAGGTAGGGGTTTTCTTTTTCTTTTCAGATATTGCTGCTGAAATGATCCAACTGTCTCAAGGACCTGTCTACCTGTTTGCTTGTGGACAAATTTTTCACTTGATTTACTGAAGAAAATATTGCTTCTGAAATTTGTTAAATCAATGGCGTTTCAGAGTTAGACCTGGGTTTGAAATTCATATGTCAGGTTTTTGCTATCACTGGTCGGGAAACCGGAAACACTACACTTTTTTCTAGGCTTTAGTTAATTTTAGTTGTTTGTATGATTTATCACTCCTATGTTTGATCATTGATTACTTTTTTTGTTATATTACATTATAGTACTGCATACTGGTACACAGGAAAATCAGAATCAGAATGTTTTAGTTCATGTCTAAAAAATTAAACTCAGTGATTTGGTGCTGGACTTAAAAAGACAAATATTCATGTCACATTCCCCTATTTGTTCTAAACCACCTAAAACCACAATGTTTGTGCTAGAAAATGATGAGAACATTGCAATCGAGCATCGTGAAGTGTCGACCTCCATCGATATGACAGTGAGAGTTTTCGCCTATAGATTTGTCAAGCAAACAACATATAATCTTGCCTTTTAACCCAGGTAGTGTACCAGTGTAGTGTGCTACAAAATTTTATGTAACACTACAAAGGGGCAAATGGACAGTTTGGCACAGAACTATACCCAGAAGCTATGTTATCATGACTGCATTATGTGATTGTAAACCCTGCATCACTTTAGTGCTATAAAAAGGCTGCGGGTAATGTTTGACCAATAAACCATTTATTACAGTAAGGCATGACCATGAATCCAGAATAGATTTTCATTCATTGAATAGAAAGAATGCCATTTTGCAGCAGAATATGAGAAATGTGACTTAAACTTGGACCCTTGAAACGTTTTTGGCACTTTTTGAAGAAACGTGCACTACCATGGACTAACGTTACAGAGGAACTGGCCAGGGGTAGGTGTGCACTGACAAATCACAAGCCCAGGGCAAAATTACTTTAATCTACTAAATCCAAACCACTTAGACGCTAATCAAGATGTAAAGAAAGACCCAGAGGTCATGTTTATGTTGTCTTTACTGTTTGACGGTAAACGATCTAAGCGTCTTGTGCTGGGTGCTGATATTTTGTTTCATCCCCGTCCCTTTATAAGTCTGTGTTTGCGCTGACCTGGTCTGTGTTGACAGTAGCACCTGTCGCTACTGTAGGTCATTGTTTACTTTACCACCTAGGTCAGTCCAAATAAGGCAGGAGCTCGGGTGACAATTACACAGCCCGGGCAATTCATTTCAATTCAGCAGGCAATGGCAGCCTTGTTCACTACTTTATAAAGACCAGTGCAAATATTTCAATCACTCTTGAATAATGAAAACATTCATTGTAGGTTGGATGTAGCCATGATTTGGAAGACCTCTGCTTAATTTCTTGAGGAAAAAACTTAAAAGATTATTAGATGTAAGAATTAGTGTCTTTGAAAATGCGACAAGAGAAAGTGAATTGGAATGGAGTAATCTTGCTTGACTGTCATTATACTTCATGGTTATTGAAAGGTAGTGCACCCTTTGTTTACCTGTGGGCTTCTTACATAGGTGCCAGTTAGAACACTGTTTATGTTCAGTTTAATTTTACAACATGCGAGATAAGTTTACCATGTTGGCAAAGCCCCCCATGCATTGTGTAGAAATAGAAGCATGGCGAATTATAAGGGACAGTACGTTATTTATCGGGGGGGGGGAGGGCCGGTGCGTAGGAATCGGGCAGAAAAGGTTTTCCCTGGCCCTCCCCCCCGTATTTATTTTTTTTCCCTGGCCCTCCCCCCGCTATAAGAAAACTTTCCTTGGCCCTCCCCCCCTTTCTGAAACATTACAAAT